TGCTCTGCCTTCAAGAAGCATTGTTGCTGTATTTTGTGCCATTATTACTGTGAAAAAGAAACGTCTGGAAAAGTTAAATAATATGAAAGAAAAAAGGACCCATAATTTGCAGACTGTGCGAGCATCTCGACAGCCATGGATTGCCAACCAAAAACACTGAAGTCACTTTAACTCACTCACTCTCAATGCTAGATATATAATAAATGGACTTGTTTCCTCTTGGTGTGTTTAATTTACAGTACCCTGATTTGAATGCGCTCATCATGCGTCGGTTTAAAGGCCCTAATGACGTGGAAGAAGCTCGGGAAGCAGTTTATAAGGTTTGTTGCTCTGAATTATCATCTTCTCATCTCATAAGGAAATTCAAAAGTTTCTTTAGGCTTGCTTTCCACCTCAGGAGTCGCTCGAGGGATGGGCGTGGGCTACTTACTTGGACAGTTGCTGAGTATCGAGCCTACTTTTCCTGTCCGTTGTCAAAAGATTATGCCTGTGAGGTTGTTTGTATCTCCAGTTTACAAATTTCTCTTGTGATTCTTTCTTGCACCCTCCTGTCGGCCTTTTGTAATTTTTGCTCCGCCTTCACTGATGTACCCGGCCAGACGTGGTAGATAATGGACAAATTAAGATGTAATTTAAAGTGGCAGACTAGTCTTTGGGCAAAATGGAACCAATTCATTCTTTGAGATATTCAGAGAGTTTAATGAGATGAATTAGGTTATGACTGTGGTTACTACACCACAGTTTTATTTGTTATGAATTGGAGCACCTCTGGACCCACCCAAACTTGTCCCCAATCTTCTCTCCTTTGTCACCCAGAGGTTCTCTCATTTGTATAAGAAAGAGATCCGTGACGGGAAAGATGGGAAAAATTCCTGCTGCTTTGTCGCCGCCCACTTTGACTCGTCCCCATCTCCTAAGCCTGAGCTCATTTGAAGACCCTGGCGATATGGACCGAGCAAGGGAATCAAATTCGGTTGTTGGGTAGGACGTGAATACTGACAGCTTCGTCAGTTTTTCGTTCGTTATTTCGGTTGTATTGTTTTTATTCTTGTTCACGGTGATAACTTGTTCGCGGTAATGACATTTTCACGTCGATACATACTCGACCGTCGAAATGGCTTAAGAAAGAAACTGATTATCAATTTCCCCCTGATTTTTAAATTTCAGAGTGACGGTATTGCACGCTCTTATACACTGGCCAGTCAGTATGCTAAAGAGGCAGTCAAACAAATCAACAAGCTGTCTTCTTCTTCCCAGAGAGATGCATTGATCACAATCACTCAGCAGATCCTACAAAGACGAAAGTAACTACTTGGCGACTTTCCATTTCCCCCCCCCCCTCCCCTCCCCCCGAAAATCTTACTCTTTTATTTTTGTCTATAAGTTGTAAACGAATTGAGAAGTGATCACGAAACTTTTTAGGAGACTAAAGACTGACAATATTTGCCGTCTTTCTACATGACTTGTACTCTGAAGTTTAAGAGTACAGCTCTAAGAAATGATTGATTCTATATTTAAAAGGATTATAAACTGATTCTGTTTTTAAATTATGAATAAATATATAGTCACTTGGTTTAAGGAATTCTTACTTATTTACGATATGAAATACGTAAGAGAAACTCACAGACTCAAGAACAATGATGGAAGGAGTTTTAGGGGCCCATCTCATATCAATGAGTCCGTCGAGCGCTCTCACGCTCTTGACCAGCGGCTAAAAATTTGATGGCTATTCTGCATGCTTTTGTCCAATGGAAAGTGCATGAATTCCATTGAAGATAATTAAAGTCACATGGTACACTAATATAGCCAATTTTTTTTTGCTTGTGTGATACAGATAAGGGAAGTGATGTAATATGAAAACGTTATTCAGCACTGATCTGGTCACAATTTCGTTCTTTTGCTCTTTTGTGAGAGAAAGCAGTAAGGTTTAATAGACTGCAGTAATCTTTGCTGAGATTTCCATAACTCTCCGGCCTTGTCTCCCACTTTGGCACTTTCTAGTTGACGTGGAATTCGATTGCTCTTTTGAACTGCCCCAGACTCAGATAAAAATTGCCGATATTTTCATTGTCCCCTTTTTCTTGAGCAATTTCTAGATGACGTCGATGGTACTCGATTGCTGTATTGAACTGTCCTTAACCCCGATATCTTGTTAACATATTACTACCAATAGCGTAACTCCATTTTCTGCATGTAAACCCACACACAACCCACAATTCCTCCATTCGCTCTAACGAAGGACTAGCGCTCGAAACGTCAGCTTTGAAACTCTTTATACATTTCCATTATCCTTTTTTCTCCGGTCTAGCAATTTCTAGATGAAGTTGATGGTACTTGATTGCTGTTTTGAACTGTCTCGGCCATGATAAGCTTTTCCGAGATTGCCATAACTCTCTCCCTCTTTGGCCTTGTTTCCCACGTCTTAAGCAATTTCTAATTGACGTTGATGATACTCAGTTGCTGTTTTGAACTGTCCTGAACTGCGATAATCTTTGCTAAGATTGCCCTAACCCTCTCCCTTTCCCGCCATGTCTGCCACTTCTTTGGCAATTTCTAGCTGACGTTCATAATACTCAATTGCGGTTTTGAATTGTCCAATACCCCGATATACATTGTGGAAATTTCCATAACTCTCTCCTTCTCTTGCCTTATCCCCCACTTCCTTAGCAACTTCTAGATGACGTTGATGTTGCTCGGATGCCTTTTTTGAACTGTCCCAGGCCACGATAAGCTTTACCGAGATTGTCGTGGCTGATTCCCTCACTAGCCTTATCTCTCACATTTTGGGCAATTTGTACATTATATTGACGATGCTCGATTGCCGTTTTGGAACCATCCAAGACTTTGATAAACGTTGCCTATATTACCATACCATACTATTTTTTCAGCATTGTCTTCTACTTCTTTGGCAATTGTTAGATGACGTTGATGATACTCGATTTCTGCTGTGAATTGTCCCAAACCATAATTAGCATTGCAAATATTGCCATAGCAGATTCCCACGCCAACTTGTCTTCAAATTTTTTGGCGATTTCTAAATGACGTTGATGGTCATCCACTGCTGATGCCCACTCCAGCCTTGTATCTGTTGTGGTTCAATTTTTTTTTTCTGGTTTAAATTTTTTACAAACCAGCGCAAAATTTTTAAACTGTTCGAGATTATGATAAGCGTTGCCTTGATTGCCATTCCTGACTCCATTTCAGATCTCTTTCTTATCTTTTTAAAAAGAGACCTGGAAACTTCCTCTTCTTAAGAAGGAGACCTGAGCCCTTCCTTCACGCTCCTCTTCTTTGATTGGGGTCAGTGACTTATTAAACCACTACCGATGCGCGCTAGACGACATAATGAAAGACTGATTTTACTTTTGTCCTAAGAATTTATGACTTGCCAAAACCACGGAGTGTAGGAAACGGTAAGTCATAAATCATTCCAAATAAAATTGACATCTGATGTAATTTCTATGAATGAACCTTTAAAAATATGGTTTTGGAGGTCATTTTACCCACTTCACTCCACTTCATGCCAACAAGTTAAGCTGAAACCGTTTCAGGAAATGAAACCGTGTTTACGTAGAGGCCTAACTTGATAGCGTGGTGACTGAATTGTTTCTACTTTGTGCGAATGGTAATTTTTTTTACGTCACTTCTTCTTTATTTTTCTTTCATTTTATTTTATTAGGTTTTTTTCATGTATTCAAACTTGATTATTCAATATTTTCTTTCGTGTCACTTTGTCGGCAATCAATTACTGACACGAAAATATCTTTTCGTTTTATATTGCTTCGCGTCTCACCGAAAAAAATTGTAATCCTTTTTGCGATACAGCCACAGTAAGTATCTTGAATTTTTCCTATCAATTTATGAGCTTGGATGACAGTTTTTACTAATGGGTAGTAACTTTTACCCGCTCACTTGTAGCGGGAAAAAATTGAATTAATATTTATTTAAACCAACTTATACAATTTAATTATGTAACCATAGCCCTACAATAATGCAATAAAGCTCAGTTGAAGGCAATTTCCTTTCAGCTCATTGCATTTTCAAATTTTCAAATTTTAGAAAATTGTTCCTAGAAAAAAACCTTAATTTTCTAATTTCAGGAAGTATCATGTAAAATTTAGTTGTTAAGTAAGTTTGAATTGAGCCATTAATATTGTTTTGTTTTATAAAGCAAATGCCAGTTTCTACAATTTTCATTTCGGTTTTTGAATAAAGCAGGTGAACTTTATCATTTAACGAAAATTAACCCAGTGCTTAATGAATTCCCGGAATAATAACAAAATGTTTCTTTTGTCTTGTTCTTGAAAACGATTTTCATTTACTTCTCATTATAGGATAAGTTAAGTAAATATTATCATTAAGATACCATATTAATTATTAATTTAGACAGGGAACCATCATTAAGCGCCTTTGCGTCACTGAACTGTTTGATTTAACCCTTTCCCAAGATCAGCTGTCATAAGAACGCCTTTCTCTCTCGAAACGTGTCAGATTTCCACAAGTAACTGAAGGTGAGCACGAACGAAGGTGAAAACCGTGAGCTACTCCTGCACCTGTATCCTTTCATTCATTTCCTTGTTTTCAGAGCCGTAAGGATGTGTGTATCAATAGTGAGTTCCTGATAAATTCTTATATCTTGACAATGCATGACAAGACGAAATATTTTACTTCTTCCCAGATGGAAAAGATTAGCGGACTCGCAAGCCTCTGATTCCACTGACTTAGTGTATTGTTTTACCTTCATCACTTTCCATGCACTCTCGGAAAATTGTGTTGATAGTGAAAAGTCCAAACTTCATCTGCGGTCCCCGCACTGGTTCTTGAAGTTAGAGTCGAAGACAGGCTCTTAATAGCAAAACCGTCGTTGTATCAAGCATATTTGCTTTTCCAGCGAGTTCATTCCAGCAAGGCTTGAGACATTTACAGGAAGCAGGAGCCTGACGACATCTTTTATCCGAACACTCAAAAATTTGCTGGCTTTTTCCTCCATTAGAATTCTCATGGGTAATCCGCAGACGTTGGGGAGGATTGTTGCTTCAATTGATACTGTAAGTAATTTTTCGTATCTGAACAACAACTCGGAGGCAATTGACAATATCTACGTGTTCACGCCGGCTGGAGACACCGCTAAACTTGTGCTTTGTTCAGTTTTGTTGGCTGTTGGAGCATTGGGATTTTTCGGCAATTGTTTTTTGTTCTATTTTCTGTGTCTAAAGGTTAATAAAGCCGCATTTCGAGCCAGCCGTTTCCTGAACAATATAAGATTGTATCTGAGGAGTTTAGCTCTGTCCGACATTCTTACTTCTGGCGTGGCTCTACCTCTATTATGCACTCAAGTTTTATTTGATGTCTTCCAAAGTGGGTGGCCATGCAAGATTGCTCGATATTTCCAGTTAGTATTCCCTACCATTACGCTGAATAACCTCATGGTGATAAGTCTAGAAAAGTACTTATCAACCCGGCGAATTCCACGCACGTTCAGCATTGAAACAGTCCGTAAAATGATCATTGGTGCGTGGGTATTTGGAGTCCTCATTATGTTAGTTTCTGTTGCCCCGTATAATGGAATGAGACTCAGTCTCAATGAAACCCATTTTACCATTGTGTGCAGAAATGACGAAAATTTCTACCCATTTCGAGCAACGATGCTCTTATTTCCATTACAGTACATCCTGCCAAGTATATTTGTGAATTTCATCAACATAAGTTTGATCAAAACAGTGTGGAGAAGAAGTAAAACTAGAGTTGGAAACGGTACAATTAACGCTTGCAAGACTCGGTTGACAGTCACAAGAATAAAAGGAACATCGCTTCTCATTGCTTTAACCTTTTCCTTCACCATTCCGTGTCTTTTCTTTATAGCTAATATTGCATACGCTCAGATAGCCAAACCACAACGAGCTTTTGCTGTAGATTATATAATACGCTATGCTGCTGGCGGTTTCGCATTTGGTAGCAGCGTGATAAACTTTACGATTTGCCTAGCTCAAATGAAGGACTTCCGGGAGTTTCTGAAGAGTTTTTTAGTCTTAAAAGGAAGGAAAAGAGGCAGACCTCGTATTGTACCTGTGATCTATAGGACAACAGTACAACAGGGCCTTTCATTGCAAAAAGTGAAATCAAAAGATATGACGAACTGGCTTGAATTAAGCCATCAAAACTATCGAGCGAAAATATTTTCCTTCTCGAGCTCCTTGTAAAGAAACTCACCAAAAAAAATAGACCAAGGCTAGCAAGCGTACGCTTTCTTCCTTGCTAACAGCTCATTGTTGTCTTTCCTGGGCAGCTGAAGATTGATTCATGCCAAACGATCAATTGTATCAATTGAATTATACAACAATTATACAACTCAACTTGTTTGGGTGCTCTCCAAACCTCCCAAGTGCATCCATTCCTCGATGAAAGTACACCTAAAAACATGTACCAGTTTCTTTTCTAAGATCAAGAAGATATCTTTTGACAAATCGATCTTCATGGGTCGACATCAACGAATATCACAGCGGGAAAAGAAACCTGAAATAATTCAGGATTGTACGGACTTGCCACTTGGTTCTCTGTTAGTGGTAGCGTTTATCCGGCCAATGAGAGGCCCGTATTCAAGAAATCCTCCTGTGTCCACACATTTTCTACACTTATAGGTTGCATGGAACGCTATCTAGTATTGTATGGAAATGAATACACAATAGAAAAGAGGCGAAGTTGATGGAGACGTCAGCAAGTTTTCTCAATTTTTTTAGTCACTTCAAAGATATTATAACTATTGAGTATAGCCACTATATAATTTGGTTTTATAAAGTGACTTAATAGTGTAAATTAGCCACCGTTAGGAGTTTCTAGACTAACGTTTTTGGCGTCAGTTATCCCTAGAATACATGAGAGAAATTTTGGGTTGTACGTGTTTTATATGCAGCAAAATGGAGCTACACCATTAGTAGGAACATGGTAACTAGAAAAACAAGAATAAATTAGTTGAATGAAAAGCGTATGTTGATACCGTGAAGATTAAAAGTGCCGATTTGTAAGCTAAATTTCTGATGTAGAATCTTAGGGCTTTCCGAACTGCCTACAGCCTGGTTTATAAATAATCCTTTCCTTGACTGGCCTTGGTTATTGTTTTAGATTGGTCTTCTCCTATGCCCTGTTTACGAACTTTGTGTGATGCAAATCACGGGAGCTTTTCAGTGCATTTTCTCCGGCGTGTCGTATTCGCCTTAATGCTTGAGAGCGCTGATGAAAACAACGACTTTAGAAGACGGTTTCAAGAGAGGGGCATTTTGAAAATTCTAATGTACAAAGCGTCGCATTTTGTCGCCACTGCCAGCATTCAAAAGTGTTCTAGAAGGGACGGAAGAAAGTAAATGTATCAAAAGGTACGTGCTTTCGAAAGAAAAATTAGAGGGAAAGTCCAAATTATTAAGTAAATGAAAATCCTTCAAGTTACGTTTCGGCGCAAACGAAATTGATAGTTTTGAAAATGCATTTTTGCGATCGTATCACCAGAAAGATTTCCTTTCGGGTGAGAAGCCGGCCTGAAATTCCGGCTCAATGAGATTGCGGACATTGACACCAGAATTAGTGAAAACCTGCACATTCAATTTATTTCATTTTTAATACAGTGCTCGGCAAAGTTCGATGCTCTGCTCTGCATTTATGAGTTACAAGAATTTGTGTGGAGAAGCTAGTATAAAACTACTGCAAATGAAAATTAGGCTTTTCTAATCTGCATCAACATCATTAATATTTTCTTACGAATAATAGGGAAATATCTTCCATTTAGGTCGGAAGGTGTGAGAGAACTTTCAAAATAATCTTTCTTGGAGTGATTCTAATTCCATATTTCACCTCTAAGTTCTGATATTTTATGTAAAGAAACATTACACTTCCCATATAGCATAGCTTCTTCTTTCTGGTGCTTTTAATAGTGTAATCCTGTTGCCCAGAACTACGCTTAAAAAAACCAAAAAAAACAAAAAAAAACCAGAAAATAAAACATACCCCTGTTGCCCAGAACTACGCATTGAAAAAAAACATGCCCAAACCGTGAGCATATTTCAAACGACGAATAGGGAAGTGCTGCTAAAAAACTCAGCGCGGAATACACTCAAAAACACTTTTAAAAACGCTCACCTAATTAAAAACATATATAAACAATAGTCTTTTTTCTCATTTTGATGTAGATAAACCGGTTATATTCTCTTGTAGGCTTAAGACGCAGGTGATTTCCCAAGAATAGCGTCATTTTATTTTCGTCAGTATACGTGTAAAGTTAAAATTTTGCCAGCTTCGAACGCAGTACTCTTTTTCTGTTGGTGATATTGATAAACTTCAAATTGAAGAAGAAGAGAGAAACAAAAGGGTAGGAAATTTTTCCCATCTGTTACGCTCCCAAAGCGAGACGAAGTATAATTTTTTCACTGAAACTGCTGCAGTTTTACTTAATGTAGTTTAAACTGCACCAATGGGGAATGCTGATTTCTCCAAGCAATTTTTGCTGGAACGAAAAACAAAACTTCACACTCTTTCCACATTTGTTAATTTCATTATAATATCTTCAATTAAGAGAAAAAAATTAGATTTGAAACGAATTTTGAAATTTATCGGCATGAAGAAACAAAATTGTACCTTTGAGCTGAAAACCATTGTTACACAAAACACAGGAGTATATTTTTTTCGCACAATTACGTCGCACGAAAACTCACTAGATTACATTCACTTTAACTAATGGGGCGATTTCATTACGAAAGTGCATTCAATCGAACTAATGCAGTATAGGGCTCAAAGTCAGTCTAAAAGCAGTTTTAAAAGGCACAGTTGTCCATTTGGAAAGGAACCGATTGAACTTAAAGAAGATGAATTATACTCACAACGTATGGTTAATGGTTTAAAGAAAAAGGATAATAGCTATCAGCTATTCATGAGAAACTTATTTCGACAAAAACTGATCAATGAGACGTTTCATTCGGCTTTTCATATGTCGGGAAAATCCCATACGATTGGCGATTTCACTGTTTCGCGACCCTCCCAGATTTTTCCAACATATCGAGAACGGGGATCTCTACGATTTCGAATTTTCATGCGTAAAAATTTGGAACGGTCGGGAAAGAATGAAATCTCCGGTTGCTTGGGATTTTTCCTGATTCTTCAAAACAAGGCCTACGAAACGAAGAGAAAAAACGAGTGGTTTGGTTTTTAATGACAGAAACTGAACATCTAAAACATAAGGTTTCTAAGAATCCAGACATTTGCATTTGAGAATTAATCGGAAATCATTTGGAAGGATAAATAGGACAGGAACAAAGGGATATAGATGAGATGTCATTTGGTATTTTCTTCAGGAGGTTATTCAGTAAACCACAATCGAACTCCTTTCGAGTGCTTTATCGAGAGAAGATCAAACTTAAGCATGAAACGAGACATTAGGTTTCGAATTTTTTTTTTTCTACGGTCATTCATTATCAGTTCGTGCTACACTTATTTTGTCGTAATAGAGGATTTTTTTACCTTCTTTTGCTTAATAATATCATGCCGTTACTTTGCAAATATGATATATTGAAAAAGTGCTTAAAGAACAGAATTAAATTCCGTTCTTAACTTTTTAAAAGTCTTCTCTAAAACACGTAGAACAACTAACAATCTTTTTGATTTCGTGCAAGTTGGTATACGTGCATTGTCACAATTTCTTGGGTTTTGTTTCTTGATTTTTTTTCTTAGCGCTCCTTGATTACCAGCTTTTCATTAACACCAATACTATCCAGCGGAAAGGATATTTTAGAAATTCAAATTTCCATGTTTATCTTCAGTTGCGATGATCCATGTAATGAAATAAAATTCTCAAGAGAATCCCTTAAAGCTCTTCAGCAAGATAAAAATATATATAGTCACAGGAGTAACTGCAAACCCTTCATTTAAGATTCTTTAGTGCTACGTTTTTTCCATCGGCCCATAGAGCGATAGAACAAAAGTGCTTACTGCCTCCCCCCCTGCTAAGGGATCAACCCTTATGAATACACAGAAAGTGGCACCGTTTTCACTGCCTCCAAATCTGAGCTAGTGATGCAACACAGGATATTCCTTAATAGTTCTGACGAGGTTTGCTATCAATCGGTTAATACGAGGTTGCTTCGTAATTTGTTTTCCACGAAATAATGTTGTTTCAACCTGTGTTTGTAGGTTTGCTTGCACTACTTTAAACTTTATGGACCAGTTGCAAAGGCGACGAGATATGACGTCATGAGTCGTTAAAATACGTTTTGAACGCGTGTGCCATTATGAAAAACGGCGGCATGGCGATATGATCGAAAACCCACCGAAACCGACTGAAAGGTAAGGAAGATAAAATTTTCCGGCAAAAGAGCCTTGGGAAACCATTGTTCCTCGTCTTGAACGTAGAAGGGTTGGTTAGTGTTGTCATGGTACGAAAACCACTGAATTGTGAACATCAGGTAGGCCTGATTTTTGTTGGTCACTTGTCAATACCAATTGCGAAACATTTTCCCATACTCCCTATCGACAGACCTGTGCTGAAATGGAAAAAGGAAAAACTTGGTGGCCATCTCCTAACTGGACTTCAAACGATTCGTCACGCATGGGCCGTAATCAGACTGAAGCAATGGACCCTGTTTACGTGTTCACGCCCGCTGGAAACACTGCTAAACATGTGCTCTGCTTAGTTTTGTCAGTCATTGGCACAGTAGGGTTCGTTGGAAACTGTTCGCTGTTTTACTTTCTTTGGCAGAAGAAAACCACAAGTCCAATCCAAAAGAGTCGTTTCGTGCGCAGTTTGAACTTGTATATGAGGAGTTTATCCCTCTCTGATCTCCTTTCTTGTTCCCTATCGTTACCCGTTCTATGCCTTCAAATTCTTTTCGATCTTATGCAGAGTGGGTGGCTGTGCAAGATGGTCCGCTATTTGAATTTCGTGTTTCCCGCTATTACGATAAATAACCTAGTTGTTATCAGTTTAGCGAAATATTTATCAACTCGTAAGAATCCTTACACGCTTGGAGTCACCGCAGTCCGTAGGATGATCATTGGGGCTTGGATTTTAGGAATAACCACCATGTTACTTCCAGCAGCCACTTACGACGGAGTAGCAGTGCGTCTAAATGACAGTCATTTTACAGTGATCTGCCGTTACAATCAGAACTTCTATCCTTTTCAAATAACCGCCGTTATTTTCCCATTACAATACGTCATTCCTGGCATTTTCATAACATATGTCAACGCGTGTTTGCTGAAGACTCTGTGGATTAGGACTGGAAGACAAATTCGTCATGCAAAGACCAGTGCTTTCAAAGCAAAACTTACAGTTACCAGAATCAGGGCAACTTATCTTCTAATTTCTCTTACATTTGCCTTTATATGCCCGTATTTTGTCTACATAGGCAACACTGCATACACCCAGATAATGAAACCGCAGCGCTCATTTTCAACAGATTACATTGTGCGTTATGTGGGTGGCAGTATTGGGGCATATTTCAGCAGTGCCTTAAACTTCATCATATACTTTGTCCAAATTAAGGATTTTCGCGCATATCTAAGAAACAACTTCCGTTCGCGATGCATCAGGATCAACACGTAGTAAAGTAAACAGTTTGCTCCGTCGAGACAGAACAACCTGCAGGAAATTGAAAAATGTCAAGTAAAGAGGGTGAAGTGCATGAAAACTTAAATGTCCTGTGACAATAGTTTCTTTACTTCAGTCGCCTTCACAGTGGCTTCGCGTTGGTATTTTTGACAAGTCTTTACCTTAAATGTAGACGATCCCTATTAATATGAAGAAAAAAGAAATGATTGTAGGCTGTTCGTAAGATTTGAGTGTTACGCGATAGTCTTTTGGTACTTAGGTTAAGTAATTGTGCGCGTATACGGGACGAAAGCTCACTGTGGAAGGACATTTCTTTTATTAAAACAAAAAATCTAATAAGAACAAAAAAATGGAATGTTCCGTACAGCTGCTTGTAATTCAGCCCAAACCCTCTGTCGATATGCCTAGCTTATTGATGCTAAATACACGCAAGAAAAGACCAATTACTTTCGCTGCTCGTTTCAGGCATTATCTTTGTTAGGTTTTTGCCTCTCTTAATTATGTCTAAAAGATGTTAAGGTTTATTAGTCTTGTTTTTGGAGTGCAAGAGTTCTTAGTTAATATTTCCTTCGTTATTTGAGCATTGTTCATTAAAAGATTGTTCGATGACATGTCAAAACGATCGAATTGTTAGAACTTCATTCGAAAGCGGATGTTACAACAAGAACAACTTAGATATTGAATGCATGATCAAGAATATACTCTTACAATATAAGAAATCGATTTGTCGGCCGAAGAGCCCGACAAATGTTTGAGGTAAAGTTGAATAATTAAGCGGATATTTTGAGAGTGAATTTCCTCTCCATCGAAATAAATGAAAAATATGTAGCAAATTCAGCCAAAAGGTGAAACGAATAGCAACCAAAGATAAGGAAAAGGAAAAAAATCGAATCTACAGCTGTTAGACTGAACCTGAAAAAATGTAATTCTTAAAAATTGACAAAAAATTCAGTCTTGAAATACGAATGGCAGTATCAAGTCTTAGTTTTCCTAACCGAAAAAATATCCAAACCAAGCCCAGAGATTAATCTCAAATTAAAACTTTACTTAAAATTTTCCAGCTGGCCCAGGCGATAAAAATATAACCATCTTAGCCGGGAGGAAATGAGGAGGAGTGTGGGAAGGAGTAAATCATGGAGCAAATGTTGTCTAAAATATGACATACAATTATGTCCTCGGTCGGAAAAAGTAAAACATTTTACTCAGATTTGCCAAAGCCGCTTTCGAACGTCTAGGCGTTTTTCCTTGACATTCACATAACATCTTCTGGCTAAGCTCATCGCCAAAAGACACGACAAATTGTGTATTATAGAGAGTTTTAAATAGTTTTTGCGATAAGCAAGTTGCACCAGCATAAATAAAGCGACATAGTTTTATTTTTCACATCTGACTTTAAAGTGAATTTAATCGAAACAACTTAAAGACGAGTTTTTAAGCGAGACCAGCGTTTAGGAAGCATAAATTTAATTGTGTCGTTGGCAGGTTGTACAAAATTTCCATAAAAACTATACTATTATTTCATTAGAACATTTTTATCAATTCAAAACACAACTCCTTATTCTATTGAGAGCTTGAAAACTTTTATCTTAAACTTTTTACGTTTAACGGATTTTATCCACTCGAACACGGTGCCTAAGATAATAACTTAAAAATTTGACCATAATTTTTTTACTCAATGATAACTCTTTAAACGATCCCACGATTATCAATGTGTATATTTTGCAACGAAGCAAGCCCAACGCAGATGTGAAGGAAAGGAGTAGAAGTACATTCACCAAATCAATAAGAACAGCCAAATATCTTCCTTGTCCCAGTTTGAAGGTGGGTGCGTTAACTCCTTTCGCTCTCTTGACCATCACACCCCAGTCTCATTCTATTACACAGGGGTGTTGTTTATTTTCTTTCCTCTAGGATCTGTAAGATTTCCTTGCATTTTTCTTGTGCAATTTCCAAAGAGGATTCCGCTTCGTGAAGAACCTACCGCGTAAAATAGTGGTAATTTCAATGGAATAAAGCGCATCTTCGACCACGAAAAGACAGGCTCACTTTTTCCCCAAGCGGTTAAGTTTATTGTAATTTAATCCAACTTAGCCATTCTATGTTTCTTTATGCCTCTTGCAAACCGAGTTTCACCTGCTTACTGAAAGTTTCCGACTGAATATGGAATAAACGTGGTTCCGTAATTTTTAATACGGACCAAGAAAACGAGGTTTTTAAGATATTCATCATCTGGGTTCAAAAAGAGGGGAATGTTTTCAACTCAAACAAACTGTTGATTTCAGCGGGCCGTGTAGCTGAAGTGACAAACTATAACGCACGCACTAACTGAGAGAAACAATAGCAGTCTCTCTTAACCTGTGTGTTTGGAAATCACTTTGAGATGACTGTCAGTGACAATTTAATACTAATAAGTGCTGATGGTTGAGAGCGCATATTACTTACTTCTTTGTTAAAAGTTTCATCACTTATGTCCTCTAAGTTAATCTTCACGTTGTAGAATGCGCCCCACACGGCTGTCTCCAGACTTCGAGCCCCAACCTATGAAGCAAAACATATAATAAATTCTCGTTAGATACTCCGTTCTGTTACGAGGGCACCTAAGTCCAGCGCCTATATACCACTCCTACGTTGTACAATGGTCACAGCCGGGGATTGTGAAACTCTGCTTTGTGTATTCCGACCAGGCCCATCTTAATGTGAAAAAAGTTTGCATCTTGCTCCCATCTAACAGTAAAAACGGGAAAAGGGGTTCCGCAAACTAAACTTTTATGTAGCCAGAAAGGGTAGCACTACTTTCAGTTTCGAGGAAGACATAGATGTGCATAACTGTGCCATCCACTCAACCCCAATGTCCATTATTTCAAACGAAAAGTAAGATGAGAGTGACCAGAAAGGGCAGCTGGACATGCATACATCCGCACTACTAGATATGTTCTCATACAAGTATTTTACTCCCTACCTGCAGATCAGACTTGCTATTAATATTTCCAATTTTAGCAAGCTCTACCATCGGATTCCACACCTTGGTAGCTGTTTTGATAACATTAAGAGGGACCTGAACAGCGGATCTGAGCCCATCTTGCAATGCCTTCTCACGTCTGAAATACCACACAAAAATAACAACAATATTGCAGTTATAGGTCCAAAATTCATTCCTAAAAAACATGCTGCGAGTTTTTCATTGCTTGTACGGGCAGTAGCAAGGCCTACAGGTGTAATAAGACACCAACAGCGGCATTTCAAAAGTCATCAAATTATCGAAAGACGCAAAGCAATAATTACTGGTTGAGGAGCTTTAGAATATCGCCAGCAGATATCTATGCCAAACAGTCTGCAGCAACAATGGTGCTTGATGTTGATAAAGATAGTATCCAACATTAATGTCAAGACCTACGATCGCTCAGGGTCATGTCAATAGACGTTCGAGTTAAAAATATCAGGTTGAGTTTTTCGAAACACGATGATCTCTAGTACAGGTTTAGCTGCCAAGGAAAGGCCAGTTTTATTATGCCGCTAGGTTAGGAACACAAAGAATTGCACTTGTACGGAAAATGAGACCTCCTTCATTGTCTTCCCTTGCAGATGGGTCTTCCTCTTTTAACTGTTGGCATTTTTTGTAATGTCGTATCGATGATTTCAAATCAATGAATTCTAATAAAAGCTATTATAGGTAATACCAACAGTACAGAGCCTTTAAAATCTTACATTTCCTCTTCTTCAGGAGTAGTTTTTGAAAGTTTCTTCGCTTCCTGAAAAGTTGAAAATTCATCATGAATTTGAAGAAGGTAAATTCAAATATTTTAAACAGAAATACGATCCTCTCATAAAGAAACAATCATGTAGCTAGGCTGTTCCTCTTGTAGAAAACGATGAATTTTTGTCCCCATTATTGCAATTATTCAAGTATCCCCAACATTGCTCATTTAATTTCCCTTCCAACATGTCGTAAAGATTGAACTCCGAAGATTAGAGGAAAAAAGGAATCAGCTTTGTCGAAGAAGAAAAACAACGTGAGACTTGTGACATATTTTCATTCGTTTGCATTGACTATCATCAACACAAGAGCATATGAGCCATAGATGAGCGAATCTCGTTGCTTTTCATTAATTTGAGCAGGATGCAAATAGAAGAGTGTACGTCAGTTGATGAAAGGACGAAAGAGTAAACGAAAGTATTCGTAAATTGACAAAAGGATACAAGAGCGGTCGGGAGTACATAACAGCTTTTGAGAGCACACGAGAGCCGTCGCGAGCACACAAGAGCGGTCGTTTACAAACGAGTACAGCCAAGGATACGACTTGTAAAAGAGTGCGAACATAATATAAATTCAAATTTACCATGAATCCACTGAATGCATTGGTGTCCGCATCAATCATTGGAATAAAATCAAACATTGCTTGTCTCAGTGGAGGAATAAGTGTCCTCATCTGTGAATCCAACGCTTCGAATTTCTTGTTTCCGTACGATAACCAGCCAACCATGGTCGCCAGTGCAGCACCCTGGCAAAAACAAATAAACAAACAAATTCAAACAATAAATTTTAAACAACAAAGAAAAACAACGAAGAGCCTCTGGGATCAGTACGAAATATGCCCTTTCCCGACTTTACCCTTTAAGTTAAAGTTGAATGTTAACATAACCAGGGAGTCAAGGCCATCGAAAAGCTGGCTCTACCAAGAATCAGTGTGAACCTTATCAGTGCGATTTCAACTGAATTGCTGTAATTATCATCAATGTCGCGCCACGTTTTTCAATTTTGCACGGTTCGAATCGCCTTGATAATAACAAACACCAATATGTTTAAAAAGTATTTGGCAGCTACTTTTCATTAATAAACCAAAGCATGTCTCAATACTCCAACGATCTTCAGTTCTTTAGTTGTGATTGGGACTCACAATCTTACGCGCATCTTTTTTCCTTCAGTTGTTCTCCTTCACCACGCTGTCCGAAAAATCTCAAGCAATTTACATTCCTCTACCAAGGTCCTAAAATTTGGAACTCTCTTCCTGTTTCAGGCACTCGTTCATCAAATCTTTTTAGCTTTAAGACGAGTTTTTTACTTTTTCTTACTTTAATTCACTTAAATAAACTCTGAAAAGTGGCCGAGCGGCACATTCGCAGCACTTGTTCTTTATTAAATATATTGTTGTAAGTGAGCAGGCCTCCCCATAAACCCGGTGGCTTCCTAGGTCTGCTCGCCTTCTAAAGGCAGATAAACGATGATGATGAGAATGATGACTCTTTAGATTTCAGCTCCATCAGTAGCGCTAACCATGAAGTAATGGAAGACAGGAGAGGGAGACTATGCCCTGTTTTCTCAGGATGAAACAGGAATTAACTTAATAATACATTCAATCGACCAATCACTGTTTGCAAGACGTACCATAGCAGCAATCGCCGCAGATGCGGATCCTCCCCCTGGAGCTGATGATCGAGATCCTAAGCTGTAGATAAACTGTCGGAAAGGCATCGACACGAGAGGTCCATCTTCTACATCACCAACCATGTATCTGACAGTAGATTTAAATGACGAATGCGATTAGGCGAAAGAGAAGGATTCAACACTGTACCAAAAACACGCGGCTCAGTGACTCAGTTTATTGATGGGATTCAAGGAATGGAATGCAATTGGTGTACTAAACCAAAAACTGTACCTCCCTTAGAACAACTCACAAAGCACCTTACATACTTACACACCGTATAAAGCTCACCCCTCGTTTTCGCTTTCATTTTCACCCTTCAATCAATGTAAGTAATACCCAATAAGCCGCCAGCTGATCAGGGTCGTGTTTCCTATTACTGTTATAACAGTTTTATCAATTGCAACCAACATGTCTACTCAAAAACACGTGGTTCTTCATGTGCGTATTTCACAAATTGTACTCACTCGATTATTCTTGTTTTAGGATAAAATGGAGTGATTGAGTTCAATCCTAGTCTCTCTATCACCTATAAATGGCAAAAAAATATTTCAAGGCATATAAAAATGAACACTATGCATCATTAAACGAGATGCAAATTGGAGGTAGGTTTTCTGCAATCCAGTGATTATAAAATTGCTTATGGTTTGAAGACCTTCCCCTAAACCTTGCCTACACTAGCTTTTGTATTAATTTGGATGTGGTGATTTTTTACGGCGTTTGATTGTGTAGGATTCTGTTTTCACTACAAAACCGGTTCCAAACTGTCTACTTTAGCCCAAGATAGGCCAATTGTAAATACCAGTCCAAAGGGCAAGCTGGATTTCAACTTTACCTCCCACAAGCTCCGCCTTCATATCAAATTTCAAAATATCATGTTTAGCTACCTACCAAACGAATTTTTTGATCTTCACCTACAATAAAAAGATTTTCTTTCTGAATGTAGAAGTCAGCTGTCAATAACATGGCTTCCAGGGGAACAAGACCCACAATCTGAGATCCACAAACAGCAAGCTTCAGTTCCTACAAAGAAATGACAAAACCCTTCTGCAGTTAATTCAATCTCCCTTACTTTGTTGTGAGAACAAGTCGGTTCCGAAATTGTCTGCTGTTCAAAATTTCTTTTTTAGATATTGTAAACTCTTAATTACAAGTAGTTACGATTATATCGCGACCTCTAGTAAGATGGGCCTTTCCACCTCTTTGGGATTGCCCAATTTTCTTTAAACACAAAAGGCAAAACAAACTAACAAACAAATAAAAATACAAACAAAAAACTTAAAAGAAATGAATAACAAATGAAAGGAGCCCACTTTCAATAATGACAGTTATTCACTTCAGACCACTGGATAATTATCAAGTTATAAATGATGTTCTTCAGTGAATGACAAAGGCGTACTTGGAGAAAAGGAACTCTAAGTGCTCTAAATAGGAGTCTAACCTAGGACCTCCTGATTAATTCTTCAAATGCTCTACCACTGAGCTACTGGTAATAAGAGACTTGTGGTTAGCTAGGCTGTTTAACTACGTCCATCATGACACACTACCTACATACTGCTAGGTGAATAATGTTGAATGTGAAGCTTTTGCATAAAGAAGATGGTAAATTTGAAGCCTGGTTTTTCAGGTGAAAGATGATGTTATTTAGTGAACTAAACAGGCAATAGTTGGAGAGAAAGAACACCAGTGCTTCCAATAGTAGCCAAACCTAGGACCTTCTGATTAGTACTTTGGAAACTCCACCACTGAGCTATAGGTCTGAAACTCATAACTAGGTCCCCTGTGACAAACTTCCTGCATACTGATAGCATAGGATCATTAGATAAATATCGCCTCCATTTCAGCTTTTTTTTTTAGTATTCTATGGTCAATAATTTTCACAGTGTCATGAAACTTTAAAGATAATGTCAATGCCACATTAACAGGATCAAAAAACAACTGATTGCACCAGTCCATACCCTTGCATCATTCACACATTCTTCAAAGGCAGTGTGCATACCAGCTTGACGATAGTCCAGAAGATTTAAAGACACTTGTGCTATATTTGCTTCTTCCAAATACCAGCCCATGCCTTGGCATTCAGAAAGGCAACCTGGCTGTTGCGAATAAGAGAAACATTCAAAAGTTGAACATTTATCTGGTAATGTTTCACTTTTTCATTTCATTTCTCTTGCCCAACAAAGAATATACTGTTTTTCATTGTTTGTATCTCCAAACTTAAAGCTCAGCTTTTTGACTCAGAGTCATAAAATCAGAGCCATAGTAATCACAACAGTCAATATGCATTTGTCAAAGACAACGCTTACCAATCTAATCATTGAGAATGTGACATGTTCATCTTAAACAGGTTATCAGGCATTCTTCAGAATGTTTCAATTTGCAAGTATCACCTCTGCTCTGTCATTCTGTCAATATTTTTGCATGATTACACTGCTGAAGCATACGCATAGCTAAGGGGGTGGGGATCCTGGGGTGTTCCTCTCCCCTTGTGAGCCTTTTTTTTAGCAAAAAACCTACAATATTCAGGTGGCAAACACTGGAGAGCCCTCTGTTCAACACAGTGTGATCCCCCCTCCCATCACTCATTTGAAAAATCCTGGCTACACCTGTGAAGAAGACCTTGTCTTCAAAGATATTTCAGAAGTTCCCTCATACTGCTAATATACCGCTTTGTAAAACTCAGTCACATAAGTCGTGATAAAGAATGATGTGATGTCTTATCTTATTTGTTCAAAAACCATTAGTGGTCTTTCAATGAAATCTAAACCTAGCCACAGCTGTTCGAGAACAATAGGCACATTTTCAAAACAATAAAATGGCTGGTTCACAAATCATGTTTAATTAAGCTCCTAATTCACATTTAAATAAGAAAATTTTTCTTGTGGATGTCAAAAGATCTATCATCTTTAATCACGATTAAAGAATTAAAAAAGTCAATTGAAATCACTATTCATGAGAAAAAAAATTGCCCAATCACACTTCACATAAAAAGTATAGGGGGTACCTACATTTCAGTCTTAAATTAAGTTACAATGACTGTGAACAATCAGAACAATCTCATTAACAAAGATGAATGAGATGTAGATGAACTCATTGTAATTCATAACTACAACTGTGCTCAGGCATCAAATGACAGAAAGTACAGTCTGTAAGTTAAGTAAAATCAAAATTAAATGGAAAAAAATCTCACATAATTTTCACCTGATCGGGACCTCTGCCTTGTGTCCTCAGATTCAGTGCCAGTCGGTGAGCTTGCTCTTTTGTTCCCAAAATGTTAATATTGTAAGCAATCAAGAACTTCCTTGCTCCTGCAATGGTAGCTCCCCAGGTAGGAAGGAACTCAACTGGACCAAAGTCTGGCTTCCACTCTGGTTTTTTAATCTATTGGATGACATATGACTTGAGTTCATTTTTCATTAACTCCCATGAGTGACACAGTAATTTATTCCCTAAATATCTCATTAAAAATGTATTTGAGATCTGATTGGTTCATTCAGGAACTAAGATACATAAAGTATCCTGTCCATTTTCAATTGGTGAAGTTAAGGTTTTTAAATTGGGATGTGTTATCAATACAATATCAAGCAGAAAAAAAATGGAAACAAATATCCCAAACCAAATTCTCCAAACTACTATCAAAAGAATTGAATGGCAATGGTAAGGTGAATTACTAAGAAGATCTTGGGAGTAGAAGAGTTTAAAACAGGTGGTGCTTTTTCTGGTTGCCTTCAATTTCATAATTTCCTGCAGGGTCAACTTTTTCTCAGACACATCTCAAAATTACTCAAGAAGCTCTAAGAAACATTGTATACAGCATAATAGAAAACTAGAAATGAATGCAAAAAAATTAAAATTTTAAGCCTCAGTTCCCCTTTAATGGACAGATAAACTCTTGCATCATACATAGAACACAAAGGCTTGATATAATAACTATACAAATATGACTTTTTTCCTAAGATGGCTCATAGACATACAAGTCAGTCAAAAGGTTACATCATTTTACCCATAAAAATATTTCTTACTAAACAATAATCTAGTTCAGAGTTACATGTATACTATTTAATATACAGTGGGATAGTTTAGATCTTATTTTAAGATATAAGCACAGTGTAACATTTCAAGTTGTAAGGTGGAGTTACCTTTTCAGCAAGTCCTTCATACTCCCCTGCCCTAATTTGAGGGACAGTTTTTCGATGTTCTGTATTAGATGCATATCCATACAAATATACTAAAAGGAAATAATCAAAAACTTTCTTAGCGAGGTTTCCTTCCAGCAAATCAAGTCTTTCAAATTTACTTTGTTTCCTGATTTTCTGTTCTCACTTTATCAACCCTTATTTTTTCACCCCTAAAAGTGACTTAGCAATAATTTCTTCTTGCAATATCACCCCTGAATAACACATTGTAAAGGTCATGAGAATGAAGGAAATGATCAACAACTAAAGAAACTCTTGATTGTTAAACAAATTCCCCTTATCAGCACCTTAGGAAATTTGTGTAGAACATTTTGGAAATCATTAGACATGTTCAGGTTCATATTCGGTGTACATTCACAGCTATACAACTTTAACTTCAAAATTTGGGAGTTGACTAACAATTTGCTCATAGTAACTATTGTTATCAAAACTATCTTTAACAATCTATCTCAGACAACTCACAGTATATCTCATAATATTAATTTGTTATAGAAATTTTGAGATACCTGGTATCCCAAGCTCTATAGCTGCTCTCTCTCCAAATTCTTTTGCACACTGAACACAATCATCCATAGTTACACCCTGGACAGGAATAAAGGGGCAGACATCCAAGGCACCAAGCCGTTTGTGTTCTCCTGGAAATAAAAGTGCTTCTATTTTAATAAAACAGGAAACTCCTAATCATGATAAAATAATACAAATTGTTACAAGTTTAGTCCTGTGCGAGCCAATTTTTGTCAACATCACCAAAAGTTATCCATTTCCTGTTGAAATAGAATAAATGAGAGTATTCATACTTCCCCTTGACAAGCTTCAAGCTCAACAAAGGTCTCCCTTCACCCCCTCCCTTATTCCAGAATTTTGCCATATTTCTAAGACAGATTTCCTGACAGTTCACCCCTTAGGTAGCTACATGTTTCACCACTCCTCCTCCACTACTCCCTTCCCCCTCCTCACTCTTATAAAGTTGCTTGACAGGTTTTACCTGTGAGAGAGAGATCACAAAGAAAACATGTGCAATTTCAGATTGTATGTGCAACAAATAGAATTCAAATGGCACTTGCTGATACTTTAAGAAATATTTAAATTGCATAGAGAATTTTGAAAATTATTACATCCAGTAAACTAGTATCAGATTGTAATGGTCACTGATAGAAAAGGCGAGGTTTGTCTATAAACCTCATTAATTATACATACCTGTATCTATGATTGTGAGCGAGTTTATTTGGACCTAAAACAATCTCACTCTGTAAATGTATGCATTATATTCTACAAGCATCAATTCAAGATTGTAGGATCAATGTCACTTTATTTTTTAAACATTTCTCAATTAATCTGGACAGGAAATGAAGAAACTCTTAATATGACTTGCTACAATATAGAAATAATTTTCAACCCTTTAATTCCCAAGATATGATTGTCAATTCTCCCCTTTAGCTGCTGCACATCTGTAAATTAGTGGGAAGAAATGGGTATCACATCAAGATATAAACTTTTACCTGATAAGTTTGAGTATTCTTATTACCTGCTTGTTGAATTATGTATGGATATTATAGGGAGAAGTTTCTAGTTAATCACTTCTGGGAATTAAGGGTTCACGCGATCATTTTTTGACACTTCATACTCAAAATTAATAATTACTATTCGCTTTACATTCACGATAAAAAAAAACTTAAACCAAACAAATAGCAGTACCTTGGTGACTTGTCATGTCAATCAACTGCATTGCCATTCTTGCTCCATTCAAAGCTCCTTCCACCACACTCTCAGGCGAACCGACAAATGTGTAAACAGTCCTGTTTGTGGACACGCCTGGATCCACGTCAAGAAGTGAACAACCATCAACAGAAGCAATAGCTTGTGCTATGCCGTCGATCACCTCTTTGTTTCGTCCTTCGGAGAAATTTGGAACACATTCAACGATACGAGCCATAATTTCTTTGTTTACAACACTTGCGTCGATGTTGATGAAGACTAAGTCGAGCCGAGTGTCACGAAACGCTTTTATCCAGGCTTTATTCGTGACGCGTAATAGTGTCTGACGTCGGCCTGGGTATGAGGTCGTTTGAAAAGGAGGAATGGCGTTGGACTCCATCCAAACGTTCAAGTATCAATTCAGTTGAAGATGCTTACTCCCGGCTGTATTTCACGGATAAAAACCGTTGCAGGCAGAGATGAAATGCAGGAAGTATTTACGGTGAAAGTCTTGGACATCTTCAGATACATTGTTGACAGGAGCTTTCCAATTCTAGACCCTGATTTTACTGATGCTTTCGACATTGTCATTACTGATGGTCGTTACAAGACGAAATGCTTGTTGTCAACCTCTTTAAATTCGCTGGTTTACGAGAACAAACTGCGAGAAAACTCTGTTGTGACTGTCACCGAATGCAGTTCTTTGATCGACGAAGAATCGTTGGAACAAGTGCCTTTCGTCATTCTTCAAAGTATTCAAATTTTAAATTTGGCCTCAGAGAATTGTGATGTAGTCCGAGAGGAAATCCAATTTTGCGAAGATGCAGCACCTAACGAAAAGCAAGAAATACCACTGGCAGCTTCTCGCGGTTACTATTTGCCGTTATGGAACGACGAAGACTGCTTTGGAGAGAGGTGGTTTAGTGCTCCAGATTTGCAGCCTGTGAACCCTATAACCAATGCAATCACAATTCATGATCTTAATATGTTTTGGAAAGCTCTTCCGCGTCCATTTCCTGCACTTATTGGGAGAGTGGTTAGCAAAACTAGGCTGAATCACTACGGAAAAGCTTCGGACGAGAAGAGAAGGTATCCCTATCAAGCGTACCTTGAACTTGAGGATCGCACTGCGACGGTTTCTGTTTGCATTTGGAGTTCGTTTTGCGTGCTTTTGTATAACTATCTACAAGTAGGAGACATTGTGGCCCTCTTAAATTACCGTATAAACCGAAGGTTCAATCAAAGAAGTAACGCAGTCTACAATACAAGTGCTTCCACGAGCATCGAGATATCTGTGAATCCTACTAACCCAACAGCAGAAGTATATAAACTGGCACCGAACGAGCTTGGACCAGGATGGAGGTTACCTGGTGTACCCTATAGGTGAGAAATGTTTAAAACTAGATGGAAAAAGAAATTATAAAATACTCTTTGAAATTTTTTTTCATCGTGACCCTTTCTTTGATCTGTTAGGTTTTTTTTTGCAGTAGTGCGATATTCATTAACATACCTCTAATGACAATGGTTGGCAAAATCTTTTGGAATAGTCGGTTGAAATCTCAACCAAGACTGCAGCTAATTGTTTGTAAGAGGCTCTGTCAACAATCAGTCAACTATAAATCAGATATCAGTGGACTGTTGGTCAACTAATCGTCAACACTATCCACAAAACACATCATTCATCATAGTTTATTGTTAATTCTTGTCTTGGTAACAACATAACAAACTGATAAATGTGTTTGTGTATGATTGGCAGGAAATTTATTCTGTTTACATCCAGCCACTGCAACAATCCAATGCCCAGAGATAAGCAATTTTTTTGTTTCTGATGGGTTTCTTGCAGATTTATTGAACGGAGATCAGTTGCAAACTACTGTTCAGGCTTAATATGTGATGTTGTGGGAGTTGTGATGTTTGTCAGCCGAGACAGCAGAAAAAGAAAGGGGAACAAGTTGTCTTTCTGGACCAGTAAATGGGTGCACCTGCTAGATGGTAAGAGGATGCGAGTTAGTCTCTTGCTGTATTTGCCTAAGTTACTGTACATGTATGTTCACTCTAGCTTGGTTACAAAATTTATAAAGAATTAGTTTTTCTTGCTTCTTTTTCATCAGAACTTCAGGTTGATTAGCACAGCTAGGTGTTTATAATTATGGACTAATTGGGGTTGTGTTCTACTGAAAATTGTTTGTCATTAAGGGTGACTACCTTTTATTGTTGAGCAACTTGTACAACTTGAATATTTTATTGCTCAGTTGTTTCACAATCAAGGGAACCCTTTTTCCTTGAGTGATGTTACAAGCTTTTATTTTTAAACTGGTAACAAGCAGGAAATGTATTATGACATAGTATGGAAGAGAACCTTGTACTGAACAAAATGAAAAAAAATTGTGGAAATTGGTCACAATTTGGCAGAATTATGGATTATGCGGTTAAAAAATGCTCTATGCATTTAAGAAGCAAAGGCAAAGGGCAAGAATTAAGGAAGACCCTGTTCGTCTTGCTGAAGCACATCGGAAAGATAGAGAAAGAAAGAAAAAGAGTAGACAGGCAAGGAAGGAGTACCTTGAGCACCAACATTTGTTAAGAAGGCAGAAAGAGAGAGAAAAAAGGCTTGAGATGAAAATTTATAGGGAGTAGAAAAAGGAATCCCAGGTAACACAGTTGGCCAAACCTGGTAGATCATCAGCAGCAAAGAAACAAGAAGCCAGAAAAAATGCTAAAAAAAGGAAGCAAGTTAAAATATGAATATTTTCCACTGCTTTTGTAGTTACATTATAGGTTTCCAAATAAATTTCTGTTGATGTAATTAAAATTGAAAGATAAATGTTTTTCTGTCACAAATAGTGCTCCTACATTGCTTACCATAGGGACATGTGAAAACTAGATGCATTATAGACAAAATTTTACATGAAGAATGTATCAGAAATGAAGAATGTAGTGTCCATACCCCCCTTAAAGGTCATTCTAAAGTGACCTCTTTAAATGGAAGTAAGGCAGTTTGTGCAAAGATATTTCAGGATGGTACACTCTGGGAATAAAGCTACCTACAGATTACTTTTATTTCTTGAAACATGAAATTTTATTTTTGACCCATTCCTGACCTCAAAAATGTACCCTTGATTGTGAAACAGCTGAATTTATTACATCACTACCCTTAGGCACTTAGTGGTTCTTCTTAAACCACAGCCTTGTTAAACTGTTAGAGACAGTCCTCCAATCTGACACGATGATAACATTTCTTGTTTGACTGAGTAGTTCTCCATTTGTACTTTAGGTACAAGCTCTGTGCCATTTATTCTCCATCTGTATGCTTCCTCACAACCCCAAGTCTTTGATGCCATCACACCAGGAACGGTTCTCGTTTGTGCACGAATGCTGCTTAAAATTGAGCCTCAGGCATCGAAACACCGCAAATTATGCTACCTTACAACAACTAGAGAATCACAGGTTTACCTTTTGAGACAGCCATTGGATGTGAAAGACAAACCCTTTACTGAAGCGGAAGCTGTAAATGAAGTCATCAGATGGCGTCAAACTACAGATGCTAAACAGCTTCTCAGAAAGTCTTGTGTGGGTGGGTACTATGACTTTCCACCCCTCCCTGAGTCTCTTGATTTGTACAAGAGAACATTTTCTCCTGAGGCACCAATGGATCTAATAACCACAGTTAACCTTGGGTTTATTCTGAGAGAGGTTCATTTCAGAGAACACTTACGGCTGCACATTCAGGGCATAGTTGTAGCCCTGGAGTTTGTTCCTGCAGTAAGCAATGAAGAAAGTTTGTGGCAGTCATCTGGGGAGATCAGCTGTTACCAGCTTTGTGAGACCTGCCACAGTGACAAAACCATCAGGGAATCCACTTTCACTGGCCAGTATGGTTAGTAGAAAACTATTATTTTGTTCACAAGTTTTTTTATCCTGTTCTGTTCAGCTTTTGACTCAAATCTATTATAATTAAAGTTATTGTGCAAGTTGGGAAAAGTGATGGCTCAAAGGACAGGGTACAGAAGAGATTGACACACTTTGGTTCAAGCACCAGATTGTGTTTTCACATGCAGCCCACTATTGCTCACATCATGCATTAGTCATTTTGTGAGAAAGACATGGGAATTTTAACAAAGAGTGGTGTTTTGTTTCTTTTCTTTCAGATGAAAATGGATCAATTCCTTCAAGCAGCCAAACCAGCAGGTCTGGTTCTTATTCTTTAAAGATGAGAAAGAAGACATCCAATACAACACAAAATGGACAAGAGAAAAGTAAGTGATTAAACATTTAATTCAAATTATGAAACTCTGAAGAAGTTTGGACTAAAAGAGATTTAGTCAGACATGATTTTTCTTGCACATGCATCCCACCTGTGTTAAACTCATGAATTTGAATGCTAATTATGCTCCCTTTAGTTTTAATTATTAATTTATTAAAATATTAGAGTGGATTGATGTTAGTATTTTGTTTCTTTTGTGCTTAATGTGGAAGCATAAAATTCTCATAGTGAGTAACAACTGGCTCATCCTGTCGCTTGTCCCGGTCAGTTTCAGTAGCACGAAATGATTACGAATGTTGTTACTCCTCCCTGGACAAGTTACCTCTCCCTTAACATTTCGTGGGGTTCCAGAAAGTTTGGCGAGATCTACTGAAACTACTCAACGTGAAAATAGTGTTCCTGCAGTTCTGACAACACCAGACTCATAGAACTGTCTTTTGACAGTGGAAATAAGGGAAGTAAGGTCAAGTTTGTTCAGATAACATATTAAGGTTGGATATCTGCAAAGTCTCATTTCTCTACATTTTCTTGAATGGAGACTACCGGTAACTAGATATCCATAAACTCACTTTCCCCACCCCCAAAAAGAATCAACGAGGCTAAACTTCGGCCATTTTTTCATGTCATTGTTTCACAAGCTCAGTGAATTCAGTGGTTTTTCAGCAAACTTGTGGTCATGTCGTATCGAGATTTAGATGGAACACAAACTCTGTTATTGTGCTCATCAGTTTAATAAACCCCTTCCCCTTCCCCCTCGAAATAAATGCTTGGAACGCTCATCTATCGAACACAGTTATTATGTTACATGTGCGTGGAATGATATCATCGATTGCATAGACGCCTTTCTTGCACGTGGTGAAAACATTTTCTGTTGGCCTATGAAACTTCAATGTTTGCACAGAAAAACTTCAAAGTTTTCTCCCATTTGGGTGAAAGTTTACGTTACCTGCTTACTTGAAAGGTTTTCGCGCTTGTTGATGGTTGTCGGCAATGGCGTTTGCTGGCAACGTACAAGGAAGAAATTTCAAATGTGTCGTATCCCTATCCACCGAATTACGAAATCAAGTGATAGATCTCGCACGGCTCGAAGTTTGCTGTCAAAACACTTAAGTTTGATAGGCCAACAGCACATGTCTGAATAACGGGCGTGCAGGGGTAGATACAATCGACGGTATAACAACTGCTTGTTTATCTATAGCATGGGATTCGGAGATCGAAGACGATTCTGAGTATGAAGTTGAAGTTGATTCAGCCCCTTCAAGTAGTGAAATGAAAGCAAATTCAAGCAAAGAATATCACACCGTCACCAGAAGAATTAATCCCAGAAGGAAGTGCAAGAAAGGTAATTACTGATTCATTTTATCAAATATTTAGAAAGTTCTTAATTCGAAGAACTGAACTGAGTTGTGAGTGATAAAATGCAAACCGAGGAAATAACATTAGCCAGTCAGAGGAAAGGAACAATTTTACAAGAGATAAAAACAAGCAAAATGCGTGAGGCAAACGTAAACGCGAATGATTATGTCGTTTTTGCATTGGTTTTGAATGATTGTTGTTAAAGACGCTATGAGTTTTCTGAACTTACTACATAGCGAAGTAAAGCAAAGCAGATCCATAGTACTTTCGACACGCTCTTGAAAATTGTTCTATCGCAGCATTTCTTTGTCCATGGGGAATTTACTAGTAAGCTTCGACTTTACTGATGTACCTAGCCCCAGTTCTCCTAGGTTGTGCGCAAACATTTCAAACATTTTTCTTCTTGTTTTAGTTTCAAATGGTGTTGTTCTATCCTTTCGTCCAGTTTACCGTGGTCCAAAGAACGTTCGAATCAAGACGAGATCGCGTAAAGTTGGTACTGAGAAAATGATCTCCAATCAGAAACGAAAAGCAAAAAAGCGACTCGCTTATCCGCCAAAAAAAGCGAGACGGAAAGCGGTGTCAACAAAGCAAGCGTCCACCAGTGTAAGTAGAGAGGGGGAAAAGGTTTCAAAAGGCATTGAGCGGTCAGGAAAGAGAGGTAAAAATTCGTCAAGTTCTTCTGCTTCTAGCGAAGTAGTTAAATACTACCCATTCAGAATTATGGATCAATCGTGGACGCACATAGCGTCTGACATACCTTTTCTTGGATTGTGGAACCCAAGCTTGCACGAAAACACTCTTCCAAAACTTTGCAGTCGAGGACTCACGGATGTCGAAGTAGTACCGACTGCTGATCGGCAAGACTTCGTGAACGCCGAAGGTCACTGGAGGCTTATGATAGCGGGTCTCAATCGACGAGCGATCGTAAATGCGATATTTTTACCCCAGTATTCCACGACAAAGGAGGATGTAAGTGGAGAAAGCGACGTTTTTGTGACCGCTTTGGCAACGGGAGCCTTTCCAAACAGATGTCCTGTGGAAAGGCTCTTAAATTACGCTTACGAGGAATTAAAAGAGCGAAGAATGGTATTTGTGTTGGACTTGTACAGTCACGGGCAAGATAAAGTGGAAATCGTTATCAATAGAGCTTACTGACTGTGATAGTGTCATAAATTTAGAGCGAGTTTAAATTGTCGAGCTAAGTGGACAACAGTGAGATTAAATTTTTTGTAAGAATTGCTGGTACTTTTATTCTTCACTAGGCCCAAAAAGGCTGTAATAAGGAAGCCTTGCAGTTTTGGTCGCACTCTGCGTGAACAGGCCATAAGCTATCTCGACCGAAAGGTCCGCTTTGAAGCCTCAGCAAGGTCATTTTTGTCGTGTTCAATGGCAAGAAACTTCACCCTTTCAGTAGATCTCGCCAAACTTTCTGGAACCCCACGAAATGTTAAGGGAGAGGTAAATTGTCCAGGGAGGAGTAACAACATTCGTAATCATTTCATGCTACTGAAACTGACCGGGACAAGCGACAGGATGAGCCAGTTGTCTGAAAGCTGTCCTTAGCATTATCTAGATGTATATACTTCCACTCCAGAAATCTTTCCCTTTCGGTACCCCATTCGCACAGAAACTAATCATATCGCTCATGTTGCAAAATAACCTTCCATCACTCCCCTCCCCTGACCCTAACCCTAGCCCTCTCCGTGCCGATTTCAAAATTAAATACCAGGTGTATGTATTTTATGATATGCCACGTCAAACAAACTTTATTACTCCCTGGGTTCATACAAAAACATTGTATTGTGTAAAAATTTCTGATTACAATGAAAGTTGAATATTGGAACAGTGACAAAGATATGTTTACATAGACTACCCACTTCTTAAAAAGCTTTTATTTTGATTCGACGTCATAGCTCATATAAAAACTCAAGCGCAAAACAATTCAGCAACTGTTCTAAAAATACAAAGAATAACTCGGGGCGAAAATTCTCTAGTGTAAACATATCGTATGTTTTGACGTAGCAGCCCTTCGAAATCCTTCGAAACAAAACACATTTCATTTTACCAAAACTAATTCTTACAATTTACAATTGTTTGTTCGTGCATAAGTGGAGCGAATTCATCACATTTTTTCCGTATATATGCCGCCAAAATAGTCTTATCCACTGCTCGCATAATTCTTTAGTATGCGTGTTTCCGTCTTTAGCAGTTAATATCCTTGAAATCCTAGTAACAGTCCTTGGCTTTGTAACTTGCTGGTAATCAAGGCAGCAGTATTTATAAAGGACTTCTCTATACATCCATTAGGGAAATGTTATTCAAATACATCAGATTTCCCTGTAGCTAAGGATATGTATTTACCTTGAGGACTTATAGAACTTCTTTCGCCATTAAGCGTCTGGAAATGCACGCTGCAGTCGCTTTTTGAGCGATACAGATGACGACTCTTGAGTTTTTGTTTTTGCTGACTTACGGGTAAAAATGAAAAGCTTTTGCGTCGACTTTTCACGTCCTCTTTAGAGTTCTTGTTAGAGGCTTTCTCCCAAAGAAAATCTGTAGAATTCCAAAGAAACTTTTTTTCTCTTGTTGGAGATAAGTCATCGTAAGATGCTTCATTACTTCCAGGAATTCCGTTCTTTTTTGTTTCGTCGCTATTTAGAGAATCTCCATCTCGAATTTTCTCTGGATTATCCTGAGCAATCAATAGATCTTGAGCAGAATAACAGCTTTCGTGAATTCCAGGCATTTCTTTGCTTCTAATGGTAAATTCGCTTTCTGTTTTGCATTTAGCGCCATCACTCTCATCAGCCAAAACTTCTGCGAGCGTGTTTTTTCGTTCCAACGCGTTAGTTATTCCATTTACAGCAACATCGGGTATCTCATCGAACTGATTTTCACTTTCTGTACCTGCGCGTCTTCGTTTGAACGTCAGTACTTCACTCTTCAGGCTCCTTCTTCCTCTCAGAACAGCTATAGAATCGTTTTCTTTCGAAGTTGCCTTGGCCAAGCAGCAAGGAAGCAATATGCTAAGGATTTGTTGGTAGCCTTGGCGGAATTCTTTCGTGCGGAGCGCGTATATCAAGGGATTCATCGCAGAATTCAAAAAACCCATCCAGTAGGCGGCGACGGAATAATATTTTGGCAGCTCATGCCCCACTAGAGTGGCGTAAATCGTAAGAACAGAGAATGGAGTCCAGCAGGCAAGGAATACAGCAAGTATTATAAACAGCGTTACTGTAATGCGTCTCTCGTTCAAGAAGGCTGATTTTTCCTCGCCAAAGGAATGACTTCGTACGCGTTTCGTATGAATCTTCACGGTTCGGAAAATTTTAAAGTACGAGAAATTCATTATTGCGAGCGGAATTACAAAGCCGCAAATGATAATGAACAGACAGTTTGTTAACTCACTGAGTTTGTTTTCACGAGGGACTTTGACAGAGCACTGTGTTCGCCCTTGAATATACTCGTAGCTGTTCCAACCGAGAATCGGTGTAAGCGCCGTCAGAAGTGCTTGCAACCAAACCCAGGCAACTGCAATTAGTGTCGTCTTTCTGGTGAATATTTTTCTTTGGGTAGGTTTGACTACTCCGATGTACTTGTGAATGCTAATAGCCGTTAGGGTTAATATTGAAGTGAGTAGAAAGAACACATTCAGAAAACCGTTTAACTGACAAAGCGAGTAACTAAAGATCCACTCTTGCGTCACGGCAGTTATCAAGGAGAAAGGCATGCACAAGAGGGCGACGAAGATATCTGTCAAGCTTAAATTTACGATAAACATATGAGTTTCTGTACGGCGCAACTCCCGTCGGCGATAAACCACTGCAATAACAAGAAAATTCCCAATGATTGCGAGCAACATGATGCAAAATAAGACCGAAGCTTCTAAAATGCCAATCCACTTCGGATCCATGTCACTTTCGGACCGGGTTGCATTTGCGGTAGTGCCGTTAGTATTGTTTTCCATGTCTGTCGCCTGTCGACCTTTCTGGAGATGTAATACTAAAATGCGAGGGTTTTGCTCTTAATTTGCGTCCCACGTCAATGTTAAATTAAGTTTCAAGGCAGTGACATCTGACTGAAGTATCAACGTAGACTAACTAAGTCAATTGGTCGAACACTCGGCTCTTTTGTCTGATTTGACAGCAGGCAGTTTAGCGCGCGGAGCGAACCGGGTTTATTGTTTGAACGAGAACGAGAAACTTTGATAAATCTCATGTGACATTAAAATCCCCCAATCTGACAGATCTGTGTACACACTCCGTGAAAATATACGTGACAGCTGTATGCAAATGATTGCGTTAGAAACTAAACATTACTGGTTTAAGAATGAAATCCTCGATGATATGCGTAATTCGTGGGTCGGATATTTGAAAGGAAGAATTTAAGCTTCAAATCCATAAGGATCTCACGAAAATGTGGGTGAGTCATTGTCTGATTTTTGGAGGCTGTGAGTGGCAATTCACATTTCGAATGAATCCAATCTGTGCAGAAAAGAAGAGAAAAAGGAAAAAACGCCTACACTTATCGATTCCGATAATTGAATAATATGGGTAAAAAATAAATCTGCAAAACGGAACAATAGCATTGTTATCCCCCAAATTTCCGCCTGGGAGAGAAGTGCCTTATTAACTCGGCGAAATGTTTTCATTTTTCTTTTTTCCTGATCGATAAAGGCACCTGCTTAGCAACTTCGTTGTTAAACCAGTGAATCGGCTCATTCTCCAAGAGATCCAACACCTTAGAAAGCTCTTTACCCTCCCCTCGTACGACGAATCAGTCACAGGCCAGAGTAGAACAAATCAAACACAAAAGATGATACTTTATTGCTGTTTTTCATGTTGATGACCGGATATGCCCTGAATGATTGGTAGCAATTGAGACTAGCGAACTCTAATTCGCCCAGAATTAAGCGCCTTTGAATATCTTAACTGACAGGGGAAATGTAGAGAGTTGATTTCGATGTTACAAAGTAAAACACAAACATCGACTGTCAGAGCGCAGGAAGGATGATCAAACGCGAAAACATTTTAAGAACTGACAATAATTTACTAGGCTGGGTAATTTCGTCTACGATCAGATACGATAGGACACTGATGGCAATACCTATTTTATCATTGCACTAATTTCACTTTCTTCATAGTGTTCTTTCTATTTAAGATGTTTTATCTCAGAGAAACCAGGTTTGTTGTGAAATGTTTCATGACAAACGAAATTACGAGGATTTGTCAGTGCTATTAGAAGAAAAAACAAAAGATCGCGAAGAAGATGCAAAAATATCAATCCGACAAATTAAAACAGCGTTAGAGATAAGTAATCTCAAAATCATATTACTACGGATGCGCTAGATGTCAAAGATGTGAAAATCCGATTGGAACTGACTTTTCTGAAAGAAAAATTATCTCCGATAGAGCACGAAAAATTTTTAATCAAATATTCGTGAAATCAAGGTCAATTTTGCTTTTTCACGATAACAGTACTTTCCACTTTTCTCTGCGATTGAGACTGACGCGTCATTTTGTCGCCGTTGTTAAATATCTTCAGCCCTTATTGATCAATTCTGGGCCGACAAATATTTAATTTTCAATTGCAAATAAGCCCTGTCAGAAGGAAAATGATCTCACAAGTCTCATTTCGATTCGACAAATACAAAGTAACATTGTAATTATCCAAGAGAAACTGAATTATCTTAATTGAATTGCTATAAGTTTCTCCTTTTCAAATAACGCTCGACATTTCAACCGAGATTGCGGCTTTGATTATACAGATTTCACGAGCCTGTCATTAAATATCGCCTGAAAATCTTGATTATTTTTCTTGTATGGCCAGTTTATTGGGGAAATTTTATTGCACTCCATCAAATCTGGGAAGACTGACGCAAAAAAACGCTATTTCCCACTTTACGCCAACCGCAATTAGAACAGATTTAATACTGAGACTGTGCTGTGTCAGGCATTATACTCTCACACGAAAAGGTAATTATCATTCCGTGTCGCGGAGTGCGGAAACCATTCTGAGCACACACAGGAGAAGGTATGGGACGGTACGTCAATAATGGTAATAGGACTAAGAGGAGTCCAATTTGGTCTGTTATCGTACTGGGCCCAGTTGTATAAAGGGCGGATAATGCTATCCTACAAATATGAAATATGAGAACAGCGCACGCACATAACGCGTTCTGTCCACTTACACAGGCACGACGCGTTAACTGACCCTTTAACTGTCCTGTTACACTGTCCAATGACAAGCACGACGCGTACACGGACCTATCAACGCTCATATCGGGCTGGTGATAATCAAAAGATTTTGTTACATTTTTCATTAATCATAATCATTACAAATTCCTAAAATGTTATTAGTGCATTTACAGCTTCATTTTTCACTTATCATGCTGTACAGTTGCAGTCGGACAGTGTTATCGGATAGAGTAATCGGACAGTTGGCTGTAATCGGACAGTTGAAGCAGCCAATCATACAAAGTCCAGTCAGCTAATCCACCAATCACAGAAATGATCAAAATAACCATAGCAACAACCACTTATCCAAAGTAAAACTGGGGAATTTACAAAATTGAGGAATTTTTAACTGAAGATATTGTCTTCACTGGAGATATTTTTTCTAGGTGTATTTATTTTTTTTGGAAATCGTAATGGTTATGATTAATTGGTAACAGGACTTCTTGTCGTCCAAGTCTGTAATCATACTCGTGATTAACAAACCGGACCTCCGCTTCGCAGTCGTCCAATTTTGTTAATCACTCGTATGATTACAGACCGACTGGACTCCACTTGGTCCTATCATAATTATTAATCAAAACTATAACACAGTTTTCGAACGTGATTAGTAATCACCAGCTCAATTTGAGCACTAAGAGGACAGTGCACACGTCATGCCTGTGTAAGTACGCGTCGTGTGCGCGCCCTACGAGCTCGTGCAGATTTTATTGTCTTTGGAAAAATTCCCTCTTGCTTATTAACACAAAATTGCCAGTAATTGCACTTGAAATCATGTTCTTTCCTACACAAATCGGGCTGGGTGTGATACTACGTTGGAGAATTTTTAGATTTCCGAATTTCCATTTTAAGTGTGCAAATTAAGTCTTAAAATTCGTAAATACTTCACTCGTTGCGCAAGAAAAATCCAAGGAGTTTTGCTTCACTTCCACAGTGCTTCAGCCGCAAATAAATGGGCTCAAATCTTCGGTGAAATCCTTAGTTAAAAAAAATAGAAATCGTTCTCTAAGTCAGTCCACATAGCCTGGGAGCAGGCCGCTGTAAAGCGAGCGTTTCTTTGCTCTCCCGCTCCCCGGGAAGAGTTGAGACATCGAGAGGAGGTTTGCAGGGGTCTGGCACTAATAGTGCTTCACTCCTGACAGACCTTTGCTCAGGAAATAAACGCTCGTGCCGAAGCGCTAATAATAAAGGCTTGATTGTACGCTATTGTAACAGTAGCATTTCCTTTCGCTTTTGTCATAATAGTTTCTTTGTTGTGTGATGTGACAATGGTGGCATGGCAGTACTGTCGTGACGTTTTGCCTTAGGCAATGTCCATGATTGCTACGCTTGCCATTCTTTCTGAGCCAAATTGATTCATCAGGATAAGTACTTAGATTTCCCTTATGTTCATTCGAAATTGTCGATGATCTAGCTGTTTCCCTGACGATATTGGGGATTCCCATTTAGTCGTAAAACCGGAAGTAGCTTGAGTGTTACACACAAAAGGAATCATTCTGGCGTAAAATGAGCGGCTGTCAGTTCAGATTGTTCGCTCCAGTATATCAGTGCGCCACAAGCAATGACTTGACAGGGGTAAAGAAGAAGGAAAATGACCCCATTCGTACATTTTCGTTCGACTGTAAATTTTTCAAGATTTTAAAGAGCAATTTAGTGAGTGCTTGATCTCAAATTCACTCTTCCGTGAGAATTTGTCCGCTTTCTGGCTGTTCACGCAAGCAGAACTACGCTTCGCGAATGAAATGGTCGCTCGTAGCAATGATTTATTCAACCAGGAGAAGATATGTGGTCGTGACGATTTTCTTCACCTCGGCGTTTTGGTTGATTGTAGAGTTGATACTACTTAGCTACACCAATGTCGAACTCTCTCAAGCAGATATAAATCAATTCCCTGATTCAAGGAGAACTGCTTCGATTACTTTCGAATCTTCAGAGGCTTCAATCAAAGAATTTAAATCTGTGTACGTTACGCTCATTCCCCCAAATCCTAGAGGACCAGGAGAGAGAGGAGAAGCAGTTCACAATGATCAGGATGACCCAGCTCAAATAAGCCAGGAAAAAGAGGGATATAAAAAGTATAGTTTCAATGAATTGGCAAGCAGTAAGATTTCGTTGGAAAGATCCATTCCTGATAATCGACCAGAGAAGTAAGTATCCAAGTTACTATTTGTATTAATGTTATTTCTATCACTAAGTAGTTTTGGAAAGTCCGCTCTCCGAGTGATTACATTTCTTAGTTTCCATTGCAGTTTTGACTCTTCCAGCGGCGAAGTCACTTCACAGCTTTGTGTTTATATGGCTCGCTCGGCCAAGAAATTGATGGCGGAATCAAATATTTATCAACCGGTTTTTACGGTGATAAAAGATCAAATAGCCGATTTTGAAAAAATGCATTATATTAACCTTAAGATAATTTGCCGTATTCGAATATTGTGGTGCTAATGTTGAAGTTAAAATATATTTTTGCGTTAAATGAATCTGGGGAAGTTTGTTATCGATTTGCAATATAAACAAGTTTGCCGTCCAACTCACTTTGCTGGTGGTTTTCACAGATCGAAGACAAAATACAAGAAAACAACAGGACGATGAAGAACGAAACTCGTCTTATTCAGAAGCGAAGAAATTAGATAGCACTCCTTCACGAGCCTAGGAGTATCAATATTTCACTTTAAAAAAATCATGAGAGTCGATCTTCATTATTGCGCTTAAGCTTATGGCTCTTTTATATTTTACTAGCGTTGTTTCGAGTCTCATTTTTTAAGCGAAAATGTTTTTAAGCTTCATTTGACACACGGTTAACCGAGTTAAGTTGGATGTGAATGAAATCATTCCCTGCAGATTTTTGAAGCAGTAGTTTTCCAAACGAGGAATTGAAGGGAACGACAATGACTATGCAAATTTTAAGTCGTGTCACGCCACGAAGCTAATGGACTTGCGAATTGTTTTCCATATTGACAGGTGCCTTAGTCTGAAGTACCCGACAAAACTTCCCACTGCTAGTGTTGTTATTATCTTTCACAATGAGGCGTGGTCGACTCTTCTACGGACAGTACACACAGTTTTAGCGCGATCTCCGCAAGAATATTTAAAAGAAATAATTTTGGTTGATGATCACAGTAATTTCGAAGGATATGGTAAGTGGTTTTTATCCCCTCCCCCCCCTTCAAGGGCACCATTTGTTACTCTAAGGGCCTTTCCTTGGGGAATGTACGGGGGGGAGGAGATGTATCTCTAAATCTTTAAATAATGAAGAATGAGGTTGGAAGTGACTGCGACAGGTCTCTCTCACAAACTGCTTCGTTCATAATGCTCCTAAAACATGTCGCTGCTGGTAGTTCTGAGGCAGTCATCATCGCACAAATTCAGACCAGCTGGTCTAAATTTGTGAGACTTTTCATGACAAGGAGAATATTCTGTCGAAGGCACAAAGCTTTTTTCTTAAATTCCAGTGTCTTACGAAACAAATTGTCGTCCAGGGCGAGCTGCGACTTGTCTCTCAAGTGTGATTACCCCTGAGGAAAGAACTAATTTCCCGAGGAAAGAACTAATTTCCCAAGGAAAATTGCGAAAAGAAGATTTATATTATCCCCTCTTTATCGCGAATGGCAGTTTAAATTGTCGCTACCAACTCAGCAGGAAACTGTTTGAAGCTGTGCTTAGTCTTTCAGGTGTATAAAGCCGAAGGCTGCTGTCCAAGCACAGAGATAAATCCTTTGTTTTGCCGTGTTTGTTTGCTGTTTTTTTTTTTTTTTTCAGTCAAACAGAACTTAAAAGCTTTCAACGTGAGATATAGAAAAATGATATTTACATACCGGCATATGGTGGTGAAATGTGCCAAACATTAAAAAATAGTCGACAAACACTGACCAACATGAATATTTTGCTGGCCGTGACGCAGGTTTCAGCTGATTTCCTGTGGCGATATTGATAGACCCTTCCAATTTTCTTTTCTCTTTTTTTTTTGTTTTTTTTTGTACTAATATGGACCATAGGGCGAAATTTTATGGACAGTTCCGGTAAAACTGTCTTAAAGCAGTGCACCTCTTAAGTTTAAGGGTAATTAGTTAAAAACTGACAAAGATATCCCGTCGCAAATTCAACATATTTTACAAATGGAAATCTCCCATAATGCAAACTTATGTAAAATTGTCAACTGTTCGGAGCCATGTTGTGATTCTTTTCGGAAATCGATTTTAACCTGGCGGTTAAATAATTTTTAGAGCGTGTGTCTAGCAGTGTCGATCAATTTGTTAGAACTGGCCCATGTCAAAAGTTGAAAACGAAAAAAAAAGGAGAAAAAGAAATTTGAAATCGTCTCATGCCATCGCGATTGATTTGGTGTAGTTTATCAAATAAACTTTTCTCCAGTGTTAAGTTAAACAAGCGTGCCTATAATGATTCAGCGCAAATGTGGTTGTGACAGACTTGACGACTCTATACAATTTAAGATATTGTTCAACACCTGGTGAGATGTTTGTTTTATACCAGCAGGTGTTTCGAGTCTAGTAAAAGAAATCACTACTGTTTCTCTTGAGTATCAAAGAAAAACCTTTTTCTGTTGAATATCTCCCAAGCATTCTCGAAATATTCCTGCTCGATAGCTAGATAAGAGGACCTTTAACCAAAGAAAAATGAAATTGGTTGTAAATGTGTTTTGAACTGAAAAACTGAACAAATAAACGGAAAAAAGTCAAACAAGGAGGCAAAGCAATTACGTTTCCCTCGCGCGATTACAACCCGCTGCGATTCAATTAAGTAGCTTTTGCTTTAACTCAATTCCGATTTTTATTTTTGGAAATTAATGCACTGCATCTCAATTTCAAAACTTACTCTGGTTTTATTTCCTATATATTCTCATAAATATTTTTTCGTCCGCTATTTGAATGTGTAAACCCACCTAACTTGTTACAGACGAACCTGTATCAAGCGGTCACCAAAAGGGAATGGCGGAATGACCGTTGACTGCAGGTTGACCAGCAAATGACTTGCGTAACGTTTGTGCGTAATATTTGTCGTAACGGTCCAAAGAAGAAAGATAATCTGCAAAACTTTGAGGATGTTTGAACTCAAAAGTGCTAACATCGATTTAGGGAGATAAACATGGAAATAATTTGGCACAAGAGATTAATCTTAGATTATTTGAGTGGTTCCGCTTGAAGTGACCGTTCAATACAGATGAAAGACAATACCAGCAGGCCGTTGGGACTTGGGTCAGAGGTGACTACGACCGCTTAATAGAGGTGACTACCAATAGATTATAAACTCAGTTTATAATCCATTTTTGGTAACCGCTCAATACAAGTGAAAATTAGAAAACTAAATGGGAAAAAAATTCGGGACTTAGACAACTGACCGCTCAATACGGTGCTGCTTAATACAGGTTAGACTATGGTATGCACCACGGAAGTTTCTGCTTTTTAAGCTCTAGAGAAACTCTTGCAAGATTATTACATGTAAATTGGTACGTATATTGCTGTTCGTTTCATTTCGTTTCCCAATTTTTATTCTTTCTTTTTTCAGCTCATCTCAACGAAAAACTGAGTTCGTACATCCAACAGTTTCCCAAAGTGCAACTCACTAGAGCAGAGACCAGACAAGGTTTAATACGCGCCCGGCTGATTGGCGCCAAACAAGCTAAAGGCGATGTCCTCGTCTTTCTTGATTCCCATTGCGAGGCTAACTACGGTTGGTTGGAACCGCTGCTTGCAAGGATTGCACATGACAGGACTATTGTCGTTACCCCAGATATCGAGGTTATCGATTTAAGAACGTTTTCTTATGCTAAGGGTAAAGGAGGCTACAATCGAGGGGTCTTTAATTGGGAGTTGACTTTCAAGTGGAGGGCATTGCCAGACTATGAGAGGGAACGACGCAACAGTGATGCTGATCCTATCAGGCAAGTGAAACCTTATTTTTTAGTGTCGTCATTACTCCAATAATCAGGGAGACCTTTTTAAAATCCAGGAGGGGAGGTGTTTATCTGTGTTTGTTTGAAGGATGGGGGCTTGGGGTGGAGTTGGGGGAAAATGTGCGGCGGCGGGAAAATGTGATGGGCTGGCATCCTTTACAGAGTGTGCTCCTGGATTCTCAATGATGCGGAAACCGAGTTCAGCTCAGGTCAATTATCTCGTGTGTAGACTTAACTTACTTTATTCATCATTGCCGTCTTGATTGTCATCACATTATATTATAGCCAAGTACATGAAGGTGGGCACTTCATCCCGTCTCGTGGTTGTCTGCTTGCGTGAGATTTTTCTACACTGCTCTACGAGAAAGTTGGAGATTTGTGTTTTCCATCCTTTTACGTACATGTATACTACAAAATAGTAATCTGAGTTTATCTTTAGTCCCACGACGTAGTCTCTTCACATCTGCATCGCGATATTCCTTCTGCATATTTACAGCCCCCTCAGGCGACGATGTCAAATGTTCATGCTTCGTCATAAAGAACATAATTCTCCATTGTGATTGTCTTCTTGGATATTTTTTTTAACTTCATGTTTTCCGCAGGTCACCTACAATGGCTGGTGGGTTGTTCGCAATCGACAGAACGTATTTCTATGAAATTGGTTCATATGATACTGAAATGTCTTACTGGGGAGGAGAAAACGTAGAGATGTCCTTTCGGGTAAGTTCGGTTTACTCTGACCAACATGTAAACCTCTTTTACGACAAAAGAAAAAAAATAAACAGAGAAAATCTTAACGATTATTTTGGTTTGAAACGGTGTGTAAGAAGGGCGGTTACCCAGTGGTTGTTACGCTCCAGAGGTCTGGGTACTCTACCACGTGTTATTGAGTATTGTTCTTGGATAGAACACTTTACTCTCTGCTGCAGTGCCCCAGCCAGGAGTATAAATGAGTAACGGCGAACTGCCAGGGAAGCCTTAAAAATGCAAATTTATCTGCATTGAACTAGTGTCTCCTCTCAGAAGTGAAGCACATTGTTCAAATCGTTTCATGCCACAGAAGCCGTGATAACTTCTCGCAGCTACGCAAGTTTGACGTGTATGCAGACATTACCTTAGTGTCGCGATTCGGTGAAATATGCCTCATTTTAAACATGCAATAAGCGACAATGACAAGATGGATGCTATTATTTGCTATTATTACTTACTTATTTACTGAGTTATATCACTATTATTCCACTATAAATCTAGCGAAGTGAGAGCCTTCCCTTCTCTCAATATTGTACACCATCGATGCAAATGTCATTCAGTGGAAAGACGTCATCCTTCACTTAAATCACCACGCTTGAAATTTAACCATCTTCATTTACTTATTAATTTCGCATAAGCGACGCTATCTACATTCTTATCCCAGCAGTATGCAGGAAGTTTGTCACCATGGACCTTGTAAAACGGCCTAGGCGAACACAGGTCTTCATTAGCTCCTCGGTAGAGTATCCGAAGTACTCATCGGAAAGTTGTAGGTTCGACACCTAATGAGAGCACTCGGAGTTCTTTTTCTCTGAGTATGCTTGTGTCATTTTAAAAATATCATCGTCCGGCACTTAGAACCCCAGCCTCAAAATATATCATCTTCAATTACATCATCCTTGCTAAATTCCGAGATCGTTTGCATGAGAAGGGGAGGGTAGTATTACCATGAGAATGAGAGGTGGGGTCGTTTGAGGGCGTTAGAGACCATTGTTGTTACCGTTTTTTAATGTAAATCGATGATGCTAGAATGACAATATAATTTCACTTGATTTCGAGAATTTAGAAATTTTTGACTGTGGACTCTAACTTCCGGTTTTATTATTAGATCTGGATGTGCGGAGGATCTCTCGAAATTCTCCCGTGCTCCAAGGTCGGTCACGTGTTCAGAGAGAGTCAGCCATACAAGATTGGAGAAGGAGCAATTGACAAGAATAACATGAGATTGGCTGAGGTCTGGATGGATGAATACAAACAAATCTTTTACGCTATGAGACCGCAGCTCAAGGACAGATCTTATGGAGACGTGTCCGAGAGAAAGGCCCTTAGAGAAAAACTTAAATGTAAGAACTTCAAGTGGTATTTGCAGAACGTGATCCCAGAATTGGACATCCCGGATATGTACCCGCACGGTAGAGGGGAGGTGAGAGTGCATCCTAAACATTTCTTTGAATAAAGGGGTAAGTTTCTAAAGAAACTGTGGTGCTGCGTCGGTGGGAGAGTATTTGTCAGAGCGATTCTGACAAGGGGCTAACGCTCGAAACGTCAGCTTTTTTACCCTTTACGGTGGCTAATTTACGTTGTCAACTCAGTTGTTAACACTAATTTACCTGCTAAACATTTCTTTGTTTGGATACTCGTTTGCTTGTCGATATTTTGTTTCCATAATCGCAGAAAACGATTTTTTTTATTTTGTAATTGGCCAGACTGGCCTTAGCCTCCTTAGCCTTAGCCTGGCACTTTTTTTTTAGCCACCACGTTTTTTTTTACTCTCTTTTTAACTCTGACTTGTATTGACTTGTAGGTCCGTAATCTTGGTACTGACCAGTGCTTAGATACGTTAGCGAAAAATGAGCCAGGCGGCGAACCCGGCATGTACATGTGCCATGGCATGGGAAATAACCAGGTAGGCATGTACATACGGGTATTAATAGATCACTGACGAATCTCCTGCTAGCTTGCGTACCTTTTGGTTCTCTGTGCGCTTCAATGCGATGAGAGGCGAAGCCTCAAGTGGTTATTCAATTACTATTATCCGTCCCAAAACCTTCGTGGCTTCTTCGCTCGACGCTTCAAGGCGCACGCAGACACAAAAATAAACTGCGTGGGGCTTAGGTAAGTTCGTATAAGCCATCTGAAAAGACGCGAGCAAGTGAAGAGTCAAGCGCCTCAGTATTCTTGAGCGCCTTACAAGTAATTACCACTTGACATCCTCCAATTAAGGCATACAAGCGATGTTCTGCCAAAAGAAACGGATTCCCCTACATTTTGCGGTCAACTTTTTAAAATTTTCATTGTCATTATATCACCCCTAGTTGACGTTAATTGCTAACGATTTTTGAGCGATCGCAGTCCCAAGCATCTCAGCTTATCCTTAGCGAGCTGTCGGCCATATATTAGGTTCAGATTTAAATACCTGTTACCAATAATGAGCCACCATTTTTTTCAGTTTTTCATGTACACGAAGAAGAATGAGTTTTGGCATGATGATCTGTGCTTGGATCTGGTTAATGGTGACTCCAACACCAAAGTTAAGCTATACAATTGTCACAGACTTGGTGGAAACCAAAAGTGGGAACATGATCGGGTGAGTCACTGTTTCTAGTGATGGCCGAGAACAATGTCTTAGGCTGCTTTGGTATGGGAGAGTAAAATTAATTGCACCGTAGAGATGACTGAGCTTGACTGACTTCTGACCATGCGCACCTCCACGGGGGAGACTAGAACTAGCGAATTCTTATTGGTTGAGACATTAAAGATAGAGCTCATGGAAATAATGTCATAATTTTACTGTTATTGGTTGAAAGGTTAATTTTTATTTATCCTTTCTAGTCCAAGTTGGCGGCATTAAAAAAATTGTTTGAAAATGAGTGGTATTTACTCAAAGGATTTTGCCCCAAAACTGTATATTATTTCACGGCAATTACGGCGAAAAATCTGGCTCATTTTCGGGCGTCGTCTAGAGAGTGAAACTTATTTTTCTGTCATGTGTCTTCTCCGGCAGGATGGGAAAATTCGTCACGTACTACACGACGTTTGCTTAGATATTGAAGGGGATGGCCTAGTCGTACGGAAATGTGACAACCGGCAAACACAGAAGTGGAGGTTCTCAGCTTACCCAGAAGAGGACAGAAGTAAAAGTAGTCATTCTGACGTGTTATAACAAGGGATATTTCAATTTTAGGATGTTTTTTAATTCTTTTTTTGTTAATTACATTTATTAATTCAATTGTGCCTTCGCCGGTCAAAAAAATTATTTTTTTTTAGAACTAAGATACAGTTGGAGTGGTGTTATCTCTAGTTTTTAAATCAGTTTCTATCATGTATCCTTACAGTCCAGGTTCTAACTTTCTTAGTCTCCCTGGTTGTGTGCCGTTCAGAGCCCAGTTATTCAAAGGGTGGGTAACGCTATCCAAAGGGTAAATCGCTATTCAGCGGATAACTGCTAACATAACGTACTGCGCTATCCACTGGATAGCGAATTTATCCAGTAATAACGTTATCCAAAATTCGAACAACCGATGACAGACCATTAGAATTTTAGTTAAATATTTCAAAGCGTTGCGAAATTGACGTTCACAACTTTGAGACAATTTCAAGTGCAGTAAAGTCAAGGAAAAAGCTTGAAAACAATGAAGAAGTAAAGAATAGTAGGCAGTATCGGAGATCATATTGTATCAGTCTATCTTCAGTATTTAGAAGGTGACAGATCAAATTCAAATTGTTTGCAGTAATTACATGAAGAGAAATTTATAACTCACGCGATTCCAATCTTCCCTTTAACCCTCAGCACCCTAAGAGTGACTTGCATCTAATTTCTCCTCACAATATCACCTCTGAATCAAACATTGAGGTCTCGAGAATAAGGGAAATAATCACCAACTTAAAAAGCCCTTGCATTTGAAACAAATTCTCCTTGTCAGCACCTTAGGAAATGTATAAAGAACAGTATGGAGAATATGCATACTGATGTTAGGGTGGACAGGGTTAAGTGTCACAGCCCAGGACCAGTTACGCTTCTTTCTCGCTCTTAAGCAGAATTTTGGGATAACGCGCGGGGTACAAACTACTCTCGCATTCACGTCAGTACCAATACAAATGTAAGACTCGCATGTTGAAATACATGTTTTTAACTAAAAATGTGACTCAGTAATGTTTCCTTTGGGTGAATCACTTGATAACATCATTATCGCTCGAAGTCAAAATTACACTCGTACCCTCACCAGTATCGATGCAAATGTAAGACTCACCAGTTGAAATACATTTTTTATCCAAAATCAAGACTTTATTTAGGTGAATCACTTCATATCATTACTTCATAAAAATATATGTAGCATAAAATTACATGAAAATCATTTCAAAACAATTGGGAAACAAAAATATGATCCGAGGAGGGCCAGAAACAAAACGATCGAAATTTCAAAATACCACTAAAATTGCCAAAACTGCATCAATCACAAATTTGCGCGTCTACTTACGAAAATGGACGATGAGATGCTAATGATTCAAGGGAGGGTTCTAAATTGCAAAAACAGTGTAAACTACCAAATTTTGTAAATTCTGCATCTGCTCTCGATCCTGGATAGTGTGATCGAAACGTTGAAGATTTCATTCTATTTAACCTACAACTATCATAAAATGGTGCGTGAACGCACATATGGATAGTTTAAATAACCATTCAATTTGTCTGAGTATTTTGTGGAAAACAGTCACTTCTCGCACTTCCTCACACTCGAAATTGAATACACCCTTACGGTGTCTAAGATTTTGATATCGGGTTTTCGCCAGATGCAGTGGTGTAAAAACCAACCCACGTTTAACTTTGTATATAATCAATTGGTTTTTTTTTACCAGGTGCATTGGATAAATCAGAGACTTTGGCCTCGGCCAATCATAATTCAAATGAAACTAGCTTAGGGACATGTTAACGCACTCGCTACTTTTTCCCGCGCGGTAGGAGAAGGTAAATTTTCTTACACTCTCGCCAAAGTTAAGTTGCGGCGTCATTCACCACACAATCATTAGCTTTGCAGCTTACTAGTGAACGAGAATAAATGAGTTAAACTTACAGGGGAGATAAACACTGTTGAAAACAGATTTCACATGCATTGGAGCAATTTTCGAGTGAGCATCGAAAGAAACCTGGGATTGCATTGGCTTTGTACCAGTCCCCAAGCCTGTGTTCTGATCGGCTACGGTGACTAGGGTGGCTTTGGTTTTTCTTGACTCAATCGAAAAGCGCTCCATAGCAACGTTCAGTTAACAAATTAAAAACACAAAGGGAAAACAAAAGTGGAGTTGCAAAGACTTTGAAAGATTAGAATCTACCTAGAGGTATCAGTTTACCCTAAATTACTATCACACGGTAGCAAAGCTTTGCAGTCAAATGTTTACCAAACTCTTTAACAAAACATTCAATTTCTGACAGCTGTAGTGAAAACATACTATCTGATAACAGCTATTGATTATAGATTAGGGATTCCAAGAAATTCGTTTTAGTCAGCAACGTCATTTACAGTCAATCTTTGTCGAAAGCTACTCTGGATTTATCGAAAAATGTAATGTAAAAATGGTCAATACTGCTATGTTCTACTACTTCGTAATAACCTACTAAGAACTGAGCAGGTCACTTGAGTGTATCACACACTATATCACTGGCAAAGCTGAAAAAATTTCTAATGTATACGTTTATAATATTTTCTTTACTCTAAGCGCGCGCAATATAAATTCCTTGCGTATAACTCGCAAATATCGTAATCCCTCTCAAGTTACTATAAAGGATTGAACAAGCCCCCTTCCTTTTAAACTCTTCTCTCTATTAGACGCCCTCCCCCCCCAACTGTGCACTACTATCTATCAAACCTCCCTCTCTATCAACCCCCCCTAAGAATTGAACCCCCAATTTATTAACATTCAATCTCTATGCAACAAAGCTCTATCCCCCCCCTTTTACTTTCTCTGTCTACAATCCTCCCCCCCTTCTCGAATAAGCCCCTCTTTCATATGAGCCCCTTCCCCCCCATCTATTAGAACCCCCGTCCTGGCTTATAATTTTCTTGTACGCTCCCGTCTCCTCCCTCCCTCAAGTTCTAAAACAGTAGTTTTATGGTCATTTGTTTTGGCATTGCGCACGAAAATATACGTCTTTTGGAGTCTGCTTTCCGTTTAAAATATCGTAGCGTTTTGACCAGACATACATGCTCTGTACGGAAGTCATTAAATCTGGGTGAGAGAAAATGCCTGGCATCATATCCTCCCCCCACCCCCGTAGCTTAATAGAACGTTTATAGTAGTTTTAGACTCAAGGTTCCTGGTAACAATATCACAAGTACCTCGCATGTTTCTTGCGTGTAACATGACAAGTACCCTGCGTTTTCTTTGAATGATTTAGTGAAGAACAAACAGACTGTGCAGGGGATATGCACCAGAGCAAAATTGGCGACACTAGACTGACTGTTTGTAGATCCTTCCGGGATCTGCAAAAACGGGAGTTGTCTAAAAATAACTTAACAGAGATTACCTATGGAGCACGGCCCACAAAGGGAATAGAGTCTCTCAGCTTGATCTCTTGTGATAACTGATATATTCAACTTGTTCCAAAGCGGGAACATTCAGGTGGTGTTATGTATCTTTGTACTTGGAGAAGACCCATCTCTGTGAATCGCGTCCGTCGCAAGGATTCATAACTACGTACTGTTCTCCACTGGACCCACGATCTAAGCATTGACCCGTACTGATGTGTTTGATAATTCCCTATTATGAAGAAAATCGAGAGAAGATGACATAAAATTTCAGCCCTTCTCGGGACTCCCTTTCCCATTACAGACACTTTGTATTAGTGTGTCCTACCATAAAGATATTTAAGGCCATGATTATGACTTGACGTACCAAAAGAAACATCATGCCTTTGTCTTTTTCTATCAATTCTTCCCAGTGGCAAGGGATGTAACCACGAGAAATCACATTCCTGTTTAAAGGATGTGGACGTCGAGGAACAAAACATAGACACAAACACAAAGCAATTCCTGCCAGTTTTGGTTGACGCATTAACCTATCTTCAAGGCTTTGATTATTTGATGGAATGCAAGTCTAGCCGGTAAGCAAGTCCTCAATGTTAGCCTTCGGCGCGGCGTTTCTTCACCCGCGAGAAGGTATGAGGCCTTGAGTTACCAGATTCCAACCCGTGGATGTTTTTCAACGTCCAAGAAATACGGAGCCAAATGCTCGGTAATACCCCTGAATCCTTGTTTTAATTATTCAAAAGAAGTAAAGGAACTCTCTCTACAAACTTACGCTTTTTTTGTCGTGTTCCCATTTCTGATTGCCGCCCATCCCGTGACATTTCAAGATCTCCACAGGAGCCCCAGCATAAGACTTCGACACGTCAAGACAGTTCTCTTCCTCAAAGATTATCTCGCCTTTTGACGACATTACCAGCATCTAGACAGGAAGATTATAAAATAAAACCACAACAATCGTTGCAAATTGATGTTCCAAATAGTGAGACTGGTACCCACAGTCTCACTACTTCCAGCTCACTGTCGATCTTTAGCGTAGGAGAGAACTTGGGGGCGAATTTGTGGGGTCCTTATGGCAAGGTTATGTGATTTTTCGGTCGATGGAAAGATTCGAGAGGCTCAGATCTTATTGTCGCTTGAGAGTTTTGAAGAGATTGGAGGTACATGCCTACAAATCAAATTGGTTTGTATTGATATGACATGTCAGAGAACCCTGAAAGTCTTTATTTTGATTTTTTCATGATGACAGTGAAATAAGAGAATTTTTGTCCGAATTCCTTGATACGAAAAAGAAATATTATGATCGTACGTTGCGTCAAGGGGCAAAAAAGTTTTCTCTCGAAAGTCATTCAAAAGTTTTCCAAAAGAAGTAGCCTTAAAAAAACTTCTGGTTCTGTGTACAACAATGTATCAAGATGCATGAATTGAGAAAACTGCCAAAGTTGTTTTTAAAATTTCACAGAATGCAGAAGTTGTTCAAATTTCTCGTAAAGTAGTTACTTTAAAGCTGTTTCACGATGAGGACTGGTTTTTGCATTCTCTTCAATCAACGCTGATAGTGTTATAGATAAAACGCCAATTTTCCTATTTCATATATAATCAACACTCCTGTTCCTGTTAGTACAATACCTGTACCATGCTAACATCGAAAGTTCTTATATCGTTCTGTTACAAACCTGATTTCCACCCTGCCCATGGCAAACATAAGCTCCCATTCGAGCTGAGTGTTCGGGTTTGGCTCCAAGCGAGTCCAAACAGTATCCACTTGGCGGGTTTCGAACCTATAAGAGGTAAAGACACCTTTTATATCAGCAGGAATAAAATACTCTTCAAACAGGAACTTTAGGGATAATCACGATGTAAAAAAAAAAGTAATAAAAACGAAAAATAAAAAGAAATAACCCAGGAATTTTGTCAGATAGGTTCCTGAGGTCACTCATTTTGGGGGCTAAAAACTGAAAACAGAACTGGTTGGGCCGTTTTTTTGAGTTTTTGGACAAAAAACTTCTCTACTCACACAAAGCCTTTCCCCAGCTCAGAGTATGAATGGGTTCGTAAGAACTATCAGAAAAATTTACGATTTGTTTGATGTGGAGGGGAGCGAAGGGAGGTTTTGAGAGGGGAGGGTTACTTGCAGTAACCTAGCAACCAGTTCTGGAGAACCAACTCTCGTCGCTCCTTCGAGCTTAGATCGTGCAGCAATGCAACTTCGTCTCACCAAATATCCCTTACCTCGCCACTGGCTGGCGGATTTAACTCGGGCATCTGGACATCTGGGTACACGTTTTCTATGTACCACTTAAAGCTTTTGCACCCTAATCTCTTCCTCAACTCCAGGCGCTTACTGATGTCTCCATACTCCATGTTCCTCGCCTGTGGCTTCTTGTTATAGTAAAGTTCCTTGTACTCGTCCATCCAGACTTCTGCCAGTCGATTGAAGTTCTTGTTGAGAGTCTTCTCCACTCCATCCGGGAATTTGTACGGGCTGGTGTACTTACGGAACACGTGACCAACGCGAGAACAAGGTACGATCTCCAGCCGACCACCACACATCCATATCTGTAAAGTAATCCCCAAATCTTAATTCTGAGTATTTTAATAAATGTACCTCACGTGACTCTTAACCCTTTAACTCCCAGTAGTGATTGAAAGCTAACTTCTCTTTCTAATATCCATCCACTATCCAGCAAAGCAGTAATGAGGATACTCAAACTCATCAGGTAGATGTTGTTGTCATGATATGACACCAAATTCTCCTAACTAGTTTACAAGGAAATGTCTAGCTGCCAAAGAAGAGAATTAACTATAAGATCTTGAGAGTTAAAGGGTTAAAAGTATTTTCCTTTCTTCTGATTGTGATTACTTAGGTTTTGGTCTTAAGACACTCAATCAAAAAGCGCTCTAAAAAGGCCAATCAAAAGCTTTTAGAATAATGAACTTAGAGCTGCGCTAGTAAATAAGTCTCACCCTGAAGGAAAGCTCGAGATTTTCTCCTCCCCAGATGTCCATCTCCTCATCATACGACCCAAGATCAAAGAAGTACTGTCTGTGGATGGAGAACAATCCACCTGCCATCGTGGGGGTCCTGAGTATGAGACAGACATTAGGACAACATGTGAGCTCAAGTTGAAATATTTCTTTCTATGATTGTTGCTTTTTTCAAATATTCTCAATATGCAGCGATAGTGGACTAAAGCAATAACTATCACTTCATACTAGCATGGTTTTAAATCTCGCTTAGAGTTTCAAACCTCTTACGCAATGTATCAAGCTTCCAGCAGTCTTTTTATCTATTCACACTGTATTGCTTTGCCGTTCTATTCATTTCACTTTGGGATCATGATCAACCTGCAGCTTTGCTAAAAAGTCTGTCCACATTTTTAATCCCTTTTGAATAATATGATAACTTTTAAGAACAATTTTGCTTTCCCTCTTGACACTTTTATCTCTTTACCTGATAGGATCTGAACTATCTTTTCGTAGTTTCTGTTCTTCCGGGGGAATTCCTTTCCATTTAAAGAACAAATCCCAGCCAAATCCTCCTCTCTGATCAGCGTTTGCAGAGCCTTGGTACGCAAATGTGTCGGCATTCAGGACTTCGATAGCGGGGCACACAACATTGGAGCGTAAATCTGCAATTCGCGCCAAAAGAGGCTCTGCCCAGCCTGGGGTCGCCTCGCAGTGCGAATCAAGGAACGTGAGAACTTCACCTTTGGCCGCGTGGGCACCTTTCAAGCGTGCGCGAACAAGCCCCTCCCGTTTATCGTTCCGTAGCACGGTCACTTTGCTCATTGTTGCAACATGGTCATCCAGTGGTTTACCAAGTCTCTCTACGAGAAGCAAAAAAATGTGAACCCTAAACATCTTTCTCGTAACGAGGAAAGCGACAGGAAAAGGTTTCAGGTTTACTATCGAAGCTTATCTCAGCTTCTGTGACGTGAGGCACCTGGAAGTGTTAATAATTTCCCGGAATGGAATGATAGTCAAAGAGCATTTTCAGTTGAGAGTCGAAAGTAATCAAAGTCAAAGATTACATTGGTTTTTCGCTATTACGCACTGTTGTAACACAACGCTCAAACGCAGGGCATGCGCAAGAGAATTAATTTGGCCTTCCAAGCGCCCATCTCCCGTTTCACACTACACAAAGACCTCACCAGACTGGAGCCTGGGCACTAACCACCAAGGCATCATGTGACAATGAAGAATTTCAGTTGAAACTTCCTATGGCAGGTGGCATGAGGAAGTTACACCACAATGTATTTAGTTCACCCCTTGACTCCCAGAAGTGATTAACATGTAACTTCTCCTTATAACATCCATACATCATCCAGCAAAGTAGTAATAAGAAAACTCAAACTGATCAGGCAGAAGTTTTTTATCATGATCTAACACCAAATTCTTGTAACTAATTCAAAAGGAAATGTACAACCGCTAGAAGGGAGATTTAACAATCAGATCTTGAGAGAGTTAAGAGTTAAGTCCTGCTAAAAAGAAACACACATGTTCAAACTATTTCTTATGCTACTTACCATCCTCACTGAAGTCATCAACAACAATAATTCCACTGAGCAGATCAGGTGGCGTCCTGTTAATAACACTGTGTATGGTGCGGAGCAGCACAGACAATCGTTCTTTGTGGAAGCAGATTATGACAGTCGTTGTTGGCAGCTTGGTTGGGTATGTGTTATGTTTGGCCTTACAACTGGTGATGTAAGAGGATCACATCAATTTTAAAATCAATACATCAATGTGTAAAAGTAAAGATGTTTAAATGTTGATCATGTAATGGTGGTATTTGAACAGTGGAATGAACAATCATGGAGCACCTTCAATGCCACAAAAAGTGTGCCCTGGATAGAACTATCCATCAAACTTTCCACTCATTATCTTGTGAGATGTTTCTCCTCTTGATGAAAGTAAAAATAAAAGTGCTGTTGCATTATAGCTCAATTGGATCATTCATCTCTGTCTATAAAGGCCTTGAAGATTTGTCCCTGGAACAAATTTACTGACTTGAGAATTTGAAATTGTCTTTTATTGGATATGTGTTTCAGTTTCCATGCCAATCTGTCTGCCAAAAAATTCTCTCCATCTTAGCTTTAAGAATATAATGTCAAAGCAAACAATATTATCAAGTAGATGTTTCATTTTCTCTTCGCCACTTTTCTTCACCACAATTAATTCACATTGTACAGACAAATTTCATTTGATTTCCCCAAGAAGTATAAAGGTTAAATAATTTCTGGTTAAAACAACTTCAAACTCATTTTCTTACAGGGGATATTGATCAAATGAAGCCTTTAAGTGCTACTGTGGTTCTTTCTTTATTCACTCCGAGCTTTTGCCGTTCTACGGCATCATCAGGGAGGATGAGGATCATCAGTTTGCCTCCCTGATGATGCCGTAGAACGGCGAAAGCTCGGAGTGAATAAAGAAAGAACCACAGTAGCACTTAAAGGCTTCATTTGATCAATATCCCACATCATTACGACATGCTACTAAAGGACACGTTCAAACGTTCATTTTCTTACTCTTTTTTACTATGTTGAACAAATATCAAAGGTAATTTACTTGGAGCTAAAGGAAAAAAAAAATAAACCCAGACTAAAAAATAATTTTGACTAAAAATTTATTTTTAAGCACTTTATATATGTCAGATACTCTAAACAGCACTTTACACTTGAAAAGTTTTATTTTTCTGCTTCTCAAAGAATTGGGATCTTTCCTTTTCCTTTTATATTTTTGTCCCTATTTTTCATCTTCATCTTTAAAGACTTTTGGTCAATAGCTTTTTCCTATGTAAAGATAATAATCTACTGTCAAAGAAATGTCCTTTTCTCATCATTCTGTCTCAAATTCACATTGATCACTGAGCTCATCTTTTCAGCTGAACAAACAACTTTCGTTGATCTGACATGATTTGCCAATGCCTCATTGGAAAAAAAAAATTTCAAATGAAAATAATTTTTTCGTTCTTTGATTCTTTGTACCATTGCAAAAGAGAATTATTCCTGCTATTTCATAAAAACAAAAGATTTTGTATTAAAAATACTTTAAAACAAGATTAACAAAAACTTATAAAGAACAACAGAAGGTTATAATCACATGTAAATTATAGTCTCTCTCTTTGAAATCATAACATGGGAAAAATTACACAATTATTTTAAAATCAATTTTAAGATTTTAATTTAAAATTCATAATTTTTCTCAGAAATGACTTTCCTCTTAGATTTGTTAAGCTTTGTGTTAATTGAAAGTAAAATTAACATTTTCTCAACAATAAAGCTCAAGTTGAAAGAAGCAGGGAATGACACCTACAATTTGTAGCTTGTGGATATTGGATTTGACAAAATTTTGAATTCTAGATGCTTTGAATTCTGTGACTAGTCATCACAAATTACAGATCAAATTGAACTAAATTTCTACTAAGGATAGTGTTTCATCAAACAGGAAATTCTCAGACATTGCAGAAAAATGATATCTAAAGCATGAGAGTGTTAAGGGTTATTGATACTCCAGAACAATAATATTGAACTAAATTTCCACTGAGGATACTATTAGATAAAATGGAAAATTCTCAGACAGTGCAGAAAAATGATATCTAATTTAATCTTGAGAATGTAAAGGCTTAGTGATACTCCAGGACAAATTTTACCATAAACTCTATACACAAATAACAAGACAGAAACTAAAAACTGCCTAAGTTGAACATTGGACATAAATACTGTTGGGAAAATTAAGAGTTACAATGTTTAAGTTTACAGTAGCCTGCACAATTATTCCTGCAGAAAGATGATTATTTTTATAGTCACAGAATATTACAATGATACCATGGGTAGTATTCAGAAGTTTCTCAACATCCATGTTTTAAATGTGACCTAGGGTTCTAGCTGACAAATCCGATATTGCACCTGCCAACATTCCTTTCAAATAAAAGTTAGAAAAATAACTATCCTACGGGGAAGGAAAAATAGTTGGACTTAATCATACTGACATTGTTTGATATAAACTGGAGACAAAGCAATATTTTTCCACACTAAGCACAATAAATTATTTACGGCAAATATCAGCTTTAACATGAACAAACCCTCACATGGAGATCAATATATTCCGGTTTTTATTTCACAGACTGCCTAAACGAGTTTTAGTAGGAGTTTAGTGAAAAACGTGATGCTCAAATTGATAAATTCAGAACTTCAAAAATTCAAATTCATAATTATGAAGATTGACAAAATAATAAAGTGCCAAAAAGAGTGAAATAAGAATTCTGATGTTTATCCTAACCACTCATGACGATCAATAATTATTACAACATACTACACCAAATTAGCTGAGTCTTCCTTAGGGAAAATCTGAATTGATGATCCACACCTCTAATCTTACTTGTGGACGAAAAATAATTAAGTATTTTAAAAAATCTAACCCAATCAGAAGTTAACAGAGTTAAAAACAAAGTGAGAGGTGGATTTGGCTACTACATGCAACATTCTTATTGAAACGAAAATTTTGAACTGTAATTTTAAAAAAGTTACTATCGCTAAAGCTCAGCCAAGATGAATGTAGGCATGTAATTCCGCGCACCGGAAGTGTCCGGTTAAAAAACGGTTTTCTGAAACCAGATGACGAGAATATCAAACATTCAATTAATATCATTGGTGTAGATGAACTTCTTTAACGCAAACGAACATATAAGTATGTTTTAGATAGAGCACTTGAAGCTTACCGGTCTCCTCTCACGTCCTCTAAGGTCCTGTCCAACGAAATCTTGTCGCTAAGTACCCAGTTGAATGAATGGTCGCCAAAATGTTGTTCCGCAAGTTTTTTGTCCTCGTCGGACATTAAGTAAGCCGGTTTGCCTCCTTCTCCGAGACCACCAGGATTCGTGCGTTTTGCTATGCTCGCGTCGTAAACTTCTCGAGATCTTGAACCACTGTTTTTTGGAAGAACCCCCGCCAAAACATTCACTGCTTTGGCAGCGCTAGACAAAAGGCCATCTTTGGCCGCCGGTTTTTCAGAAGAATCCTTTTCCCAAGGATATTTAATGTGCTTTTGGTGGTCAACAGGACGTAAAGGATTTACACCAGCTCCTTTCATGTAGTGATGTTTATCACTGTCTAAAACTACAGGCGCGTTGAGCATTGTTAGTGATTCGCGTGTTACCTCACTGTTGAACATCAGCACTAATACAGTAACGGAGAACCAAAACGTTGATGTCACAACTATTATGTTGAAGATCCTCTTGGACGACATGCTGAAAACTAAAGATTTTGTTTGGATGACTAATGTTTAGACAGCAGGGGATGGATGCCACGTATAAATATTGCTACCGTTCGCGAGATTCCTGAATGATTTCAATCCCGAAGGTGCAACCATCTGGCACAAGTTGAAGTTTTTACCCACATTACAAATTTCTTTGATTGAGATGTCCTCCGACGATGAGATTTGAGTGAATGACTGTGTCGCCAATTCACCTATAATCTCTCTAAACGGGATGCAAGAAAGGTAAATAACATTTTAAGATTACTCAACCTCCCCATTTGATGTGAGCGTCGGAAAACCAGAAAAAGTCCTTGAAACCAGAAGGCTCAGTAGCCTGGCCAGCTCTGAGCAACCTAGCCTCATTGCAGTATAAATATGGCGGTGTTTGGAAGTTTGGAATCGCTGTAAACATGTCTAAAGAGATCAAACAAGTTGTGGAAAAAGTTGTTTTCTTTTCGAGCCAATACGGATCAGACAAATCGAAAAGCTATACAGCTGCGAATTTAGCTGGGAAATTTTACAACTACCCGAACTATGGCGATTTCACCCAAGCATTCGTTTTGGTAAGATGTTCAACTACACACCTCTACAGCTGACTAAACATATGTTGTAAGCCACCAACAGATGAAAACTCGACAACATAACAAGTTTCAGTGTGTTTGAAATGTAGGAATGATCGACCCTTAAAGTTTGAAGTAGTTATTGAGTCCAATTGATAAAAATGTGGAGCTAAAGATACAGTTTAGGACTGGAGGCATATATGTTATTTGCCGGCCTACGGCCTCGGGCTGCATTTTCAAG